ATGTTCATACAAGTTACTTTGCAAAGGAGCAGTGGATTCTGGTCCCTGACATCATACCCTGAAATATTATTGGCCGATTTTATCAGGAATATTTCGAATCAATTAGTAGTAGTATTTCAGATTATTTGCTGTATTTATGATCACAGCGTTTAAGTTATGCATCGTGTTCATTAGTCTATGGCATAACATTTTTGCAGATATTTATTTCATATGTGTAAGATTCTAGAGGCTTTTTTCTTTTTAATCAGTTATTTTGTGTTGTATTTGGCAGAAAGATAGAAGCTATTTTCCTGTTTTGCTCGTATTTTTAAAAAAAAATGTTTTTTAATAGTATGTAGAAAATAAAAACAATACAAAGGTGTAAAAAAAAAACACCAAAAAAGCTTTGGACTTTTTCGGTGTGAGAAAGACAATTTCGATCTTTATCAGTGTGTGGGGGGGGGGGAACACTTTCGACCTCTGTCAGTTTAATAAAGACACTTTCGAAATGCTATATTGCTTTCTTAATTTTTTTGGCAAATTTGTTCCGTTCCCGGTCGGGTGTGTGCGATGATGTCATCACGGAGCTACTCCAGCGCGTGCTATGATTTATATCCATACAACACGATTGGGTGCCCTCGGAAATGTTTGCATATAATCAGTTTGTTAGTCAGGGCCTGGAGACTTTTTGGGGTGATAAGAAATGGCGTAAAACAGTTAAGAGCTCACATACGGTAATTAGATGATCTTTATATTGTATAACAGTTTAAAATTTATTATTGCGTTCACTTTTAGCTGTGTGTGTTTTAGCCTTGTCATTATTTTAGCAACATACTGCGGGCCACCCACGCATGCCATAACTTATGTGTCGGTGGTTTTTAAACCCCTTATATTAACTTCGCTTTTGTTTGTGGCTAGCTGGGTGGCTGGTTGGCAAAAATCTTCGAACGGCCAATGGACCCATTTCCGTCAATCTATCTAGCTGAAACTTTGCACATCGATTCATTGCCGATGACAACATATCGTTTCACATGTTCAGCCCCACTCCCAAACCTCAACCCTTAAAAATAAAGTTTTTCCGGTTTTTATTGGGACGATAAAGTAAATATGACGATACTGATTTCATTAATTCCCGATAACTGCGCTAAAAAGATTGTTTCTTTTGGTGCGTAATATTCTTTCTTTTTTTCCTAAAATAGTTGGTGTAAAAATCTTAAGTGTTAAAGAGGGTGGGACATTCGAATATCAATATCAAATAATGAAGAATGCAGATAAAGGATTTATAGGAAAAATGTTGCTCTTAGGCTGCTTGAGTTTCACTCAGTTTTTGCAGAAAACTCATCTGAAAGTGAACATTTCAACCCTTCAGTGTTAACATATGGCATGAGTTCCATGAACTCGACCGTGACTATCACTGTGATGTGTCTTACTCACTGTGATGTCTTACTCACTGTGATGTCTTACTCACTGTGATGTGTCTTACTCACTGTCATGTGTCTTACTCACTGTGACGTGTCTTACTCACTGTGATGTGTCTTACTCAGTGTGATGTGTGTTACTCACTGTGATGTGTCTTGCTCACTGTCATGAGTCTTACAAGCAATGATGTGTCTTACTCACTGTGATGTGTCTTACTCACTGTCATGTGTCTTACTGTGATGTGTCTTACAGTCCTGTTTCTTACTCACTGTCATGTGTCTTACTCACTGTCATGTGTCTTAATGACATGTGTCTTACCTATTGAGATGTGTCTTACTCACTGTGATGTGTCTTACTTAGATGGTATCATAAAACACCATACGTGCATGCAGTTTTGTGTCCTGTTGGCGACAAATAATACCTTACCCACGCTCACCTTGAACATACAACATACTGAACACCATAATGACGAAGACCGTCCACCAAATTATCTCCATCCTTGAGTTTGTTTAGTGGTAAGTGGACTTGGCTCTTGTCTAGCCTTTAAACAGCACGCCTTGGTAATCAGTTCTGTACTCTCAGGACCAGTGCTAATAGTAGTAAAGTCTACTTTCTAACCTCAATGCCTGGAACCACGAATGCTTTGGCCCCGATCATAAAGTCATGTGACTGTCGTGACCTAATTTACTTTTTAATTCCCGGATTTTGTTGGAGAAAACATGGCTCCTTTAAAGCTTAAAAATAAACTTTATTCGCTGATTTAACGAACTTAAGATGAGGTGATATTGTATTACAATACGCAGAGACGTCACTTTAGGTTTGGTGTCTCCCCCGGTGCGGTCCGAACTCCCTAGTGACGATACGGACACTAGGGCTCAACCAGGACCGGCCTTAGGCCACTGCAACCTATGCGCCCGCAGTGGGCCCCGCACTTTCATAGGCCCCGCGCTTATTCAAGGTGTAAATTATTGAATTAAACCATTATAACTTATAATCATGTCCAGGTCAGCGTGTTTATTCTGTTTTTATGTTGTTACAGTGTTTTTTTAATCTATTAACTCGTTGTTTCAAGTGATTACGACAAGTAAATATAATTGAAAAAAAATTGTAGCTGCTCGGGTGCTTTATCGCTATACTCGTCATTTAGGGGAACTTGGGGTAAGGTGAAACAGATACCATTCTTAACCCTTTACAGTCCAAGCCTATTCAGCCTTGTCTACTCCCAGCGACCAAGCAAAGGGACATAACTCCATTTTAAATGAAGTTTGTTTTTTTTTATCTCATTAATTTACAGAAAATAAACTATAAGCAAGAAAAGAAAAGAAAAAATACCTAAATACAAAGAAATGATTAAAGCAAAAGCTGCACCAAAAAAAAAAATTTCCAGGGACCATCTCACTTTGATTTGACAAAATTTCCCAGACTACTGATGATCTTGCTGATCAGTTGGAGTGGAATTGATAGGTCCGTTGTCATCGATGTCGCCACTATTACTATTATCTTCTTCACGAAGATAGATTAAACAATTTGGCAATTCTTGCTATTGAGCGTGATCTATGTAGGAAACAGAATTTTGATGATATACTATATGACTTTGCTACACGCAAGGCTCGTAAAGTAAAGTTAATTTGATCGTGATTTTTTACTTAGTAAAGAATGAATAAAATGCAAAGACGAATTTATTTTCCAATCAAAATCTTAATTTTCACTTATTATCCTTATCCCTACCCAGACTGGGCACCGCGCAATCCGTTTTGCATAGGGCCACGCAATTGTTAGGGCCGGCCCTGGGCTCAACCTAATGTAGGCCTATAGGCCTACCTCACATTTGCGGTTTTAATTCATTTAAGAGTATCGTCACTAATAAATAGTCAGTAGCTGGTTTTTCTGTTATAAAATTAAGAAATTTTACATTTAGTGGGCTGTGAAGTATCTTGACAGAGGTTAGTTGTATACACATAGACATAGAGCAGCTTTCAAAGATCTCATCTAAGTGCATTCAAATCAGAGCCCATATAAAGTCGTACGATAATTTTATTGACCAAAGGGTATGCACTGTATTCAATATCTGCTATCTTGGTAGTTTGGGGTTCCCTCCCTTGATTTGAACGAATTTGCCGACCTTTGATCCAGGGCTGGGAGCTCACATTGTGAGATCATGCAGTCATAACATGAGACCCGTGCATACATCCTTGTGCTTCTTGTGACCATGCAGGTCGTGATGCCTTGATCCCATAACCAGAACCGTCCCGTGGGCCCTTATATTACTTACGGCTGCTGGGGTGGGGGGGGGTCAGATATTAAAGGGATCCTAAGTTGTGACGTAGATAAAAAAAATAAACTACATTTTGTAAACAATAATTAGATGATTTTAAATTCTTTTTTTTTTTCTAAATTTTAAAAATCGATCTTTTTTTTATTAATATTAAAATGAAACACTGGTTTTGGGGGAGGGTTTGTGGGGGGGGGGGGCTATGGTGGAGATCCGTTTTGGGGGCACTCTATAGACATTAATCACGCTCAACCCCCCCCCCCTTGGACAAGTTCTTGAAAAGTAGTCAACTGAAGAAGGTGCACGGTTGTAGGAAGAGGTGGCGGAACGCCCCGGGTGGCATTTATGGTCCACTTTACACAGCTCATTTTTTTAAATGTGTATCATTGTGTACGCATTGTTGTTTTCGTGAATTTAGGGCGGTAAAATTAAAAGGTCGTCAAAAAAAAAAAACCCACCTACTCCACTGAGTTGGTGAAATATCAAGTTCACACACCTTAAGACCTTCTTTACAACACGTCGAAAGTATGCAATGGGATTTGGGCTGGTTTGATGGAGGAGGTGAGAGTTATAGGAATAACCACTACTACCAAAGCCTAGAGTGCTTCGTTCGTTTGAACTGGCCTGTAAGCAAGATGAAGAAGTTTATCATGGGTTAGGACTGCGTTTAGGTTGAAACAATGGGAGTTATAAAGCACTCGGTGGACAATCATCCACATGCAGTTCTCTGAGAAACTACCGAAACAAAAGGTTTTTTTTTAGTTTGGATTACATTTGTTAATCTTTTTTTTTGTTATGTTCGCTGACGAAGGCTTCTTGTCGACACGTGTGTTGTTTTTTCTTCTTGTTATCATTTTTTTTTTCAGGTTTCCCCCAACCTTGTGCTTTCTATTAGTGTCGTGGTAGTGTTATGTATTGTAAATAAGTAAATTATAGCAATTTACCTGTAAGACGTCTTTTAATGGATGGCTAATCTTGTACCACTTTGGCGTAGGTCTCTTAAACTGTCCCAAACCCTTAAAACAGCAAAACGAGGCGTGTGGAAGCTTGAATTTAAGGACAGGACAATAAGATTATAACGTTACAACACAGAGCCTTTCTCAGCACACATGACGATAGAATAAGTATAATAAGAAAAGATAGACTAATAGTGAAATTCTAAACAGAGCAAGTAACAACAAGGTTAGGACAGTGCACACAAGAAGTAGCAGCCAAGTGTCAAAGACTAAAATATAATAATTAAAGGACTGCATTCAAGCTGAGTAAAGACCCTTGCTCTAGTTGACGTAAACGTGTTGTTTTTTTTTTAATACCTTGTTTATTTTGTTTCATTCGTTAAAAAAGCGTTTATCTGGCAGCATCTTCAATTAATAAACCTGACCAATCTAGAGTAGGACAATCTCCTTATCAGATAGCATTACGACAACAAAGGTTCATTTCACAGCTGTTGTACACAAGCAGTAGGACGCATCTACAGTTTTAAGAATGGCCACCTTGTACCTCGTCTACTTTCTCACTACCCTTGCTACATTCTCAGTGCTTGCAGGTGAGTGTAATCATGGAGATGTTCGAGGTAGGGTCTTGGGGGTGGGGGTGGTTTAGAACATCCGCTTCCACCCTCACCACCACATTTTTTTTTAATCGGAAAATTTTCAGTTCAAGTTGTGATTTTATCACTAGAAGGAAATGAAGGTTTTTTGAGCTAAAGTGTGATACTTGAATATCAAGAGCTTTAATTGGTAAAATGTAACATGTTAGCACCGAAGAAGAGTTGAGCCTCATATTAAATGCCATAGCTTTCAAGGTATCTTATCTAGCGTACTATCGTACGTCTTTGTTAATTTTGCCTTTGTGTTCAGATTCATATTTGGTCTATGTGTTAAGAAATAGTCTTATCTATAATTCCAATCCAAGTAACTGATATTTGGCATTCCTTAATTAAACATTGACTTGATAGATCATTGATAAGAACACATGACTATTGATCTCTATGAGACTTTCTACTTGTTTTCTCCATCTCTCTCTCCCCCTCTCTCCCTCCCTCTCTCCCCCCTCTCTCTCACCTCTCTCTCTCCCTCTATCTCTCTCTCCCTCTCTCTCCCCCTCTCTCTCTCCCTCTATCTCTCTCTCCCTCTCTCTCTCTCTCCCCCTCTCTCCCCCCCTCTCTCTCCCCCTCTCTCTCCCTCCCTCTCTCTCCCTCTCTCTCTCCCTCTATCTCTTCCTCCCTCTCTCTCCCTCCCTCTCTCTCCCCCTCTCTCTCCCCATGACTATTTTTAAATCTCACGCTCTCATTCTTTCCTCTTTGCATTCAAAATCCATAAATCAAATCTTATTATTATTATTATTAGTTCTTTAATATAGCGCGGAACCCCTGCCTAGGGCTGGGCTCACCATGACCACGCTGCACATTTAACAAAGATTATCATGGACTTAAAAATTAGCACACATTAATTAAATAAAACAAAAGAAACGCATATTCACTCCACACATTCCAGAACTATTGACATTGTACACTTTTTTACATTGTATTTACATTGTACACTTTTTTACATTGTATTTACATTGTACACTTTTTTACATTGTATTTACATTGTACACTTTTTTACATTGTATTTACATTGTACACTTTTTTACATTATATTTACATTGTACACTTTTTTACATTGTATTTACATTGTACACTTTTTTACATTGTATTTACATTGTACACTTTTTTACATTGTATTTACATTGTACACTTTTCTTCAACTCTTCGTAAGAAGTTTGGGTTTGATGAAATTATTTCATTGATAAAAACCTTGATATGCCCGAAGTTATTTAATGGGTTGATAGATAGTGTTGATATAATTATTTCACTTCATTGATAAATAGATTGATATGGTTACCAGTGGCGTCACTAGGGGGTTCGGGACGTACCGGTTGACACGGTCTTTGTTCCCACAATGTGTTCAAACGCTGTTACCTCCAATTCTGTTTTCCTCTCCTGTTTACTGTCGCCTGTGGACTTAATTTTTTTTTAACTAAGCCATCCGCCAGCGATTCCCAAAGTGTCGGGTCGCGACGACCACTGGGGCCACCAAAGCAAACATGTATGACCTGGTTAAGAATGACTAAGTGCAGGTCGGGGGAAATCCGGAAGAAGAAATAAAGGTGGGGGAGACACCGTGAGTTTTCCGCACCTGATGACACCAACCCTAGTGACACCCTCTGGTAGCAAGTTATTGCGTCACTAAATGGGCTCTAAGTTAATTTGGTTAAGACTTTCATTCACATACAGCAGCCTATTTTAAGGACCCCCCCGTAATTAATGTTTATATTACTCTGTTATTTTGTCTTTCTTGTTGATGATTTTCTTTATTCGTCAACCCATTTCCGAAACAAAGTGGACAGAGATGTGATGAAAAGAGAGGCTGACCTGGGCAGGCGTGTGGAAGACTTTTGTTTTTTCCAGTGCATCTCTGACCCTGACCTGGACTGTCACGACAAATGTATGGGACTCATCATCAAGAGACAGCTTCAGTTTCCAGAAGATCCAGAATGCACCCCTGTTTGCGGCGACGACGCAGATTGCAACATCGGGTGTCGAAACCTTGACCTAGGGAAGCGCTTGGAAGACATGTGTTTTTTCCAGTGCCTCTTTGACCCTGACCTAGACTGTCACGACAAATGTATGGGGCTGATCATCAAGAGACAGCTTCAGTTTCTCGAGGATCCAGAATGCACTCCTGTTTGTGGTGACGACGAAGATTGCAACATCCGATGTCGAAACCTTGACCTTGGGAAAAGATCTGATAACTAAGAGTCATTGAGATTTAAGGAGTTTCAATTTTTTTTAATTTTTTTTTTAATTTTTTTTTTTTGGCAAAGAAAAAAAGACATTTGAGTTTGAAGGATGACTGACATATTACAAAACTGATATAAGCATATTTTGTTGGAAGTCCCAAGGTTTAAGCACAATATTATTGTTTTCCAAAATAATTTTAAAATGCATCCATATATATGCATATTATATATGACTACTAGAATGCGTCACTTATAGTAATGTACCCGGAACAAAGTTAAAGTTTTTGATGTCAACATTTGTTTTTGGGACACATGGGAATTAAAAATAAAATACAGATTTTTTAATTCACTTTTAAAAACATACTTTTTTAAGTTGAAAAATGTGTTCTTTATTCAAAGAAATTATTATTTTCTTTTTGTCTTGTTTGTTTGTTTGTTTATTTGTTTTTTAATGTTTTTATTTTTTTTTTTGCAAATTATAAATAGTGCCAGATTAAGTCCTGTGGAAGGCACTTTGCGTTTATTTCTACTTGCTATTGCGAAAATTCATCATAATTCGTATTGTTTATTGTTTGTTTGTTTATTTGTTTTTTAATGTTTTTATTTTTTTTTTTGCAAATTATAAATAGTGCCAGATTAAGACCTGTGGAAGGCACTTTGCAGTCAAATGTTGCCCCCCCCCCCACCTTATGTCGTTCCTAGTGGGGAGACCTCCATGGTGGAACTTCAGAATTTATATAAAGGCCTATCATTATATAAAGCGATGTGTGTTGGGGACGTACTTTAGGGAATTCGCCCCGGGGCGCATTTAGTCAAGGGGCACCACTGCTTCACACCCACCTCCCCTTTTTTAGTCTCCATATCCCTCTCTTTGAGTTAAACATTTCTAAAATACCACGACATAGAAATACAAACTTTTTTTTTTTTTAGTTTGGCCATCGTCCTGATGAGCTGGCCACTTTTTTTTGTTTTATTGCATTCATCCGTGTTGTCCTCAAAGATGACCGTCTGTCAAGATTCTCCCATAAATAATTATCGTCTGGATTACCTTACCTTTTTTCTTTTTAAAAATATTTTTAACCCTAATTTTTAGCTTGTAACGTATGGAGATTTACGGATTGCCCATCAGTACTATACATTACGTCATCACGGAGGGACTGCGTTGAGGATCAACTCCCCCCTCCCTGCCCCTTACCCAAATTCTTCCCACCTTTAGGTCATGTCAATCCGGCACTGTTTGCATAGCCCGCTAAAGACGCAACAGTGTCAACGGTAATTGAGTGTGCTTGTGCCACAAGCATCAAATCTAGACTTCTTTTCAGAAAAAAAACACACCAAAAAAAACAACACAACACCAACTGCCGTCACAACACCAACTGTCGTCACAACACCAACTGTCGTCACAACACCAACTGTCGTCACAACACCAACTGTCGTCACAACACCAACTGTCGTCACAACACCAACTGTCGTCACAACACCAACTGTCGTCACAACACCAACTGTCGTCACAAAACGCTCTGTAGTTTAGAAAATAGGCTGGAGGAATTGTTGATTGGCTGGGCATTATGATTTTGGGTTTGAAATTTAATAAATAATCTTGAGGGTTGTGGGGGGGGGGGGACGCGGGTTCATTAATTTTTTAAAAATGTTTTAATGATTATTTATGTTATTTATATTTTATTAAAAAGAGGAAAGCAAGAAGGATTTTTCCCCCAAATAGTGCCACACTGGGAGCCAATTCCAAGATTATGGGGACATATTATTGACTCTGAGATATAGATTGTGTGGGCATATATTAATCTCAGAGATAGATTATGGGGACATATTTACTCTGAAAGATATAAATTGAATGTGGGGACCTATTATTGACTCTGAGATTTAGATAGATTGTGGGGACATATTATTGACTGAGTGATAGGTTGTGGGGACAAATTGACTCTGGGAGACAGATTTTTGGGACATATTAACTTTGGGAGATAGATTATAGGAAGATATTGACTCAGGGAGATAGATTGTGGAGACATGTTATTGATTCTGAGGGATAGATTGTGGGGACAAAATTGACTGTGTTATAGAATGTGGGGACATATTGACTCTGGGAGATATATTGTGGGGACAAATTGACTCTGGGAGATAGATTGTGGGGGCATATTGACTGTGGGAGATAGATTGTGGGGACATATTGACTGGGAGATAGATTGTGGGGACATATTGACTGTGGGAGATAAGATTGTGAGGACATATTGACTGTGGGAGATAGATTGTGGGGCATATTGACTGTGGGAGATAGATTGTGGGGACATATTGACTTTTAGTGATAGATTGAGAGGACATATTGACTGTGGGAGATAGATTGTGGGGACATATTGACTGTGGGAGATAGATTGTGAGGACATATTGACTGTGGGAGATAGATTGCGGGGACATATTGACTGGGAGATAGATTGTGGGGACATATTGACTGTGGGAGATAAGATTGTGAGGACATATTGACTGTGGGAGATAGATTGTGGGGCATATTGACTGTGGGAGATAGATTGTGGGGACATATTGACTTTTAGTGATAGATTGAGAGGACATATTGACTGTGGGAGATAGATTGTGGGGACATATTGACTTTGAGTGATAGATTGTTAGGACATATTGACAGTGGGCGATAGATTGTGGGGACATATTGACTGTGGGAGATAGATTGTGGGGACATATTGACTGTATGAGATAGGGATACGTTCATGTTTTAGAGGAGAGCTGGGCAGAACGTTCTCTCTTTTTTTTTAGCTCTTTATAACCAGTCAATAGTCAAGAGATAGAAGCCAGCGTAACACATTATATCTAATACTTGAACATCACACACAGGGCCATACAAAGGGGTGGGGGAGAGTGGCATCGCTTCCCCGCGCTATCTTCAGAGGGCACTATTTGAAATTTGGTGAGGTTTTTCCATGCAAAATACGTGAAGAACTAGATCCTTTTGTGTGAATGAGTTCAGGCTTTTCACCGCTTGCCATATAGTTACACATAGAGTATTACAGTTAGCTGGTCCACCACGACCTGTACATTGTCCTGTACACAGTTATTATGAGTCGACCGGTGACGTAACTAATAGTAATAGTAAGCCATTTAAGAGCTTATGCCTTAATACAAAGGATGACATTATGCACATGTTAACAGTAGATTTCAACATTAGATTTGACATGCAGAGTGGCGTACCTGGGGTATGTAAAATGCCATGGGCGCCACTTAAAGTGGTCATAAAAAAACAAAAACAAATAAAAAAACTCAATTTTATTTTTAAATTTCAGTGTCGTATCTGGAGGGACCACAATGAGTTTCATTATGTTGAATGGGGTCGGGGAGGGGGCGCCACCCTGCAAAAATGAAGATATTTTTAGTAGCAGACTTATTGACATGAAACTTCAGTTTTAATCACAGATTGAAAAGGAAAAGCAGATGAGGCGAGATATCTTGACAAGAATCCTCCATTCCATAAAAATTCAGTGCAACTCAAAATCCTGCTTTGTGTGTACCAAGTGCACAGAAAATCCCTTCAGGGAGACTATCGTGACTCCATTGTGGTAGTTTTTCTTTGCTTATTGAAACTACGGTACTGGTTCTTTTTACCCTCTCAAAATAATCTCATTAATGAACGCTTGATATACTGGTCTCGTATATGCAATTTATGAAATGCCAAGCTGGATACACTTTGTATCTCTCCCCTGGTGGTCAGAATAAATTCCTCCACCTGATGGCGTCCACTATTCTCCATAATTTTCTAGCAAACATTCATAGAGCCATGTACTATGGTATCATGTTTTAACTCCTGATCAATCACACCGTTAGCAGATGTCAGGGTAGGTTTGTGGAGTACGTGGCAGGTGATTTTGAGAGGAAAGAGTTGAACCAGCGTTCCAGACCCCTTAGAACAAGCGTTCAAGACCCCTTGAACCCACATTCAAGACCCCTTGAACCAACGTTCAAGACCCCTTGAACCAACGTTCAAGACCCCTTGAACCAACGTTCAAGACCCCTTGAACCAACGTTCAAGACCCCTTGAACCAACGTTCAAGACCCCTTGAACCAACGTTCAAGACCCCTTGAACCAACGTTCAAGACCCCTTGAACCAACGTTCAAGACCCCTTGAACCAACGTTCAAGACCCCTTGAACCCTTGAACCAACGTTCAAGACCCTTTGAACCAGCTGGAGGAAGATGAAATGGAGCTAGGAGATCAGTGCTATGAAAACGCTACTGTGATGGCTGGACACAGAAATAGTGTCCAACAAAGAATCAATGAAAGCAACAATCTGTTACTGTTACATTGTAACTAAGATACACTTTAACAATCACTAGCTCAACTTGATATGATATGTGCATATGAACTAGCAGCTAAGCAGGAACCAATGATGATGACGTTTTTTGAAACCATTCTAGCCCTGTTCTTTTATCTCGTTCAATACAGCAATTAGGAATAACGTAAAACCCCTTGGTGGTACTAGGTAGTCAGAAGCTTTATGGAGTGCAAGGACAGGCAAAATAGACCCTGTCGGCTTGTATCTTGAAAACATGCTGCAAAGTCCTTCAGGACATGAAAGACAATATGTGATGCTGCCCTGGATGGGACAGCCCATCGAGATAATCATTTTGAGAAACGAGAAGTTTGTGTCACTAGAAAAAGGACTTGGTCTCTATGAAGCAAAAAGGGTAACCTCTGTGAAGTTAAAAGGACTTAATGTCTGTAACTAAGTATAAGTGTAAGCAAAATTCAGTTAAAGTTAACGTACTTGGAAGTTTTAAATAGTTTATTGTACCAGTATGGTACATATTTTAATAGTTGTGGATTCAGAAACTTTTTTTGTATGCTAGATTTAGATTCTTTGACCATAAAAACCTAGTAACACCAGCCTACTGATAAATTATTAATTCAAATGTTATTCACAACAACACTCTCAGAGTTTACACTGCGCAAATGACACACTTAACAGTATATACCCTGTCACGCCAGTGTTTTTTTTTTATCCTTTGAATTTTACGCAAAGGAAGTCGGTGCAGAAAATAGTTTAAAGAATAAAAATTAAAGTTTAGTCTACATTCAGTTTCCCATCATTTGGCTTCATAAGAGTGCTCGACTACACTTCTGCAATCTTTTTTCGCATGACGCATTTTAATGGATTTCAAATAATTTTTTTACTTTTTACTGCATTTTAATAATCAAATCATCTTTGATAGAACTCATTTTTTATAAGTTACTTATTTTTAGTTTTATGTGTAAGTAAATATTTAAGTAACTTTAACTACTGGATTTTGTTAGCATTCGATGTTTTAAAAAGTAAATAATTCAACTTTTGTCAATTAAAAATTTCAATTTTAATACTGAAGTACCTTAGAAAAATATTTTAAAAAATGGTTTATCAAATTACACCTAGCCGACGACCAGCAGTGCATAACTAAAAAAAACAACTTTCTTAGTGATTTATAAAATACATTCAAATGACTTCGTGCGAACAGATTAGAACCCATGTTGGGACGAGCCAGGATGTGATCTTTGCTATAACTAAGTACAACTAGCATAGTGTAAGTACCTTACAATAATAACCTGATCACTTATTAGAAGCTGTAACACTAGAATATACCTGTATCAGTTATGTAAATAACTTTAACATGGACCTGCAATTGAATATTCCAGCAAACTTCCAATGACTACCAACTATGATGGCAAACAAATTAAATGAACTTTTCTATGCCAAAGGTTATGCAATCAATGTCTAACACTGTGACCTATCATTTTACATAAATCAATACCTACAAAGTCCTACTTTCACAAACATACAGTAAGAGAGAAATCAAGTCATTATGAAAGTTACCCTTACTTTATTAGTTTACAACAACAGACACAGAAAAAGATATAAATAAAGACATGACATCAACACTAATTTCTTTCCATCAAATTAAAATTTTGGTCCTTAGTAATAATTATCAGATTTGAGCAGCAGGTATTTTGAGCTTACAAAAATGATGCTATACTTGTGAGTGAGGATCTTGAGTTAGTCATTTTCAAAGGGAGGTAAGTAAAGTTAAGTAACTGGAATCAAATCATGTACAAGGACATAAACTGCAGAAATAAATTAAGCCTAACAAGCTGTAGGAAACATGTGTGGAGTATTTGACACTGACTAAAGTAGTCTATTCATATATCCAGGGCTTGTTGGCATACTCGTAGTCACTTAGTTCTTCTGGCTTAAACCACAAGGCAATTTCTCTGTTGGCTGTTTCAACCGCATCACTGCCATGGCAAATGTTGCTGGAAGTGGAAGAAAATGGTTCATGAAGTCAAGGGTTACTGAACTGCTTTTGTAAAAAAGAAAAAAAGTACTCCCAGCAGCAGAAGAGTTGCTCACACAATAGCTTTATAACTAATTTTATTTGTGTGTGAAGTGGAAGAGTCAAATAACATATTTTAAATTTTTAAAAAGTGAGGAGTCTATTTAGCAGAAACATTTTAACTCATTCCCTACGGCAGTGCGACTTCTGTACTTAATTTATATTCCTGAGAAAAGGGAAGTAACTCAGTTTTGAAATTGATATACATTTTAAAAATATTTTTTAAGCAGCTAAACATTAATAAATTTTAATGACTTAAGGACGAATGCATCAAAAAATGAGTTAATAACTAATTTTAAAATTCGCTGCGAAAAACAATGAACAATGGCAAAAAAAAAAAAAAGATTTTGGCACCTCGGACAAACACATACTAGATAAAATAATTTTTAAGCAGCTAAACATTAAAAAATTTTAATGACTTAAGGACGAATGCAAAAAAAAATGAGTTAATAAATAATTTTAAAATTCGCTGGGAAAAACAAAGAACAAAGGCAAAAAAAAAAAAAAAAAAGATTTTGGCACCTCGGACAAACACATACTAGATATAGACGCGCTATACTAGAACACACAGATTTAAAGTGAAACAATTAAAATCATGCAGAATCACGTCATATCCGGAAGTCTCGAGGGACGTGAGATTTAATTGCTATTTTTAACTAAAAATGGAAGAGGTGTGTCACATTTAGATGCATCCGGCGAAATCACACTAGGACGCATTCAGTACAACCGTCGAGAATGAGTTAAATAATTTCATTTCAAATTATTGAGATAATCAATATGGAAATTTCAAAGAAACATGTTACATCACTTACCGACCAACATCAATACCATAGTCACCACGAATGGTACCTGGCATAGAAGCCAAAGGATTGGTAGCACCAAGCATCTGTCTGCCCATTTTCACAACCTCTTTTCCCTCCCAGACCTGTGAACAGACATCAAATTTAACTGGTTAATTTAAACTTGCAGACCATTTGTCAAATACAAAACCTAAGGTTTAATCTTGCTCAAGAATATCAATGCTTATCTGGCATTCAACAGACTGTCACAGCTCATCAGTTTTGATATCGAATATTTCTAAATTAAAGGTAAATTAAACAACCCCCCAAAAAAACGAAGTGTTTTGCGTAAATCCTTTATTCAATATGCATTTATATTATTTTATTTTAATATTCTTAATACCCACTTTTACACAGAAGATTTATTGCAACAACTATTTCAGAAAAACAAAAGAGTAAATATTACGCAAATGCGTAAAAGAATCTCATTTAGTGCAGTAATCTGTTATTTTATTTCTGAAATCAGTGGCTTCATACTTCCTTTATCGTCTGCCTTGAAAAACAGGAAAACAAAAAATATTTTTGGGGGTTGGTGGGTGGAGCTGAAAATTATATAGAATGTGTTGTCTTTGGCACCAAGCCTATGTGACAAGTTTTTGCTTGATAGATTGACGAGAGAAGTATATCTATTAGCAGGACCCAAGATTTTGTCACCCAGTCAGAATCACACAAACCAAAGTTAATATAAAGGATTAAAAAAAGTTATTAGTGTGCATTTCACCAAAAAATGGATGGGAAATTGGGGACGAAAATGACTAGCTACACACATAGAAACAGCCTATATAGGCAATATATTTAATAGAGCGGTGTTGGAGAACATAATTACTTCTAGTAGACCTATATCCTGAAATCAAAATGGATGAAAACTGCCAGAGACAAGTATAACTATTACAATATTTTACCATGGCAAACAAGGGTCCTGAACTCATGTAATCAACCAAGCCATTGAAGAAAGGTTTATCAGCTAAATCTTTGTAGTGGTTTCTCAAATGGTCTTTGGATGCCTTCAAAGGAATAAAAAATTAAAAGTTAAAAACAACCAGCCAACAAATAAAAATGTATGCATGTTAAGTCAGAGTATTAAAACTAGGGTTACATGATTTCATTAGAAGATAAATGCATCGCCATGATTCCCACATTTTTTTAAAAACATAAAATTCACAACTATCTGAATGCGACAGTTTTTACAATCTGAAAACAATTATGGTATTGTAAAAGTAAAACAATATTGGAAAATTTCATTTTAACTTATATCACATTAACTTTAAGGCAGTGTGTACACGTCCGGCGACCTGACAAATAGTGCAGGAGATATATGTTCGGTGGCCATGTCATGTGACCGCAGGACGACTAGTGGGAGATATTCTTCTGACGGGCACGTGACCGCCCCGCCGGACAACAAATGGAAGATATTATTCTGGTGGCAGACATGTCATGTGACCGCCGGATAACTAGTAGGTATTATTCCGGCAGGTCATGTGACAAGTCACAAGTGGACGCCGGCAAAATATTTGCATTGCATATGATATTCCAATATTGTGTACCGATAAATATATTAGTCAGCCGATCCCTAGATAATAAATAAATACTGAACATGTTAATATATTCATATGCTCTGTGATACATAAAGTGTTTGACTTTGTGTAACACATGCTCTGACATACTAATTATTAGGGTGTTGTGTCAGTAACATGGTTAACTGCTTCTATATTAATAATTCAGGATGCCGGCTTGAGTAGAGTAATACTTCTTCCACTCATTCACTCACTTTTTCAGTAACACAAAGAAGTATATTAAATTCCAATTAAACTCACAGTACTTTTACAATAACAATATTAAGAAGAATCCTTGCATGAATATCCAGTTAATAACATCCACAATGTAATTGTTTCACATATGTATATATATATATATATAATATTCCACCTCTCAGGAAAACACGTCCTCACTTAGCTACAATCTTCAATGTACTGCCCTGATCACTCAACAAAGCGTGGAAACTTCTTGTGAAAACATGGTCTGTTACACTTTGATTCCGACTCTTAAAAGAAAAAATTACCTTATCTTGGTTGAACAACTTGTAAAGCTCTACATTGAAGCCTAAATTTAAAATATGAACCAAATAAAATAAGACCAGCAGACTTCAAAAGACCTATGTCCATAAAGTTGTATTTAGTATTGCATGAGAAGTAGGCGAGGCCACCAATATAGTGGCCGCGGTCCCATGACAAGGCTGACAGACAAATATCTCGCGCCACTTTGTTACGGCGGTCATGTGACTTGGTCGCCGTACGAATATCTTGATAAAGTATTCTTCCGGCGTTCATGTGACTAGGTCGGTGGACATATATCTCTATAAATAATTGTCCTGTCACCGGACACGTAGACACTTCGTAACTTTAATGATCATAGGAGTGATTAAGTTTTTGACGTAAACAATGCTCATTCAAGAACGGGAAAGTTATCATTCTCATCGTTTCAGGTCCAACTGGTGGTCCATCACCCTAAATCCAGTGTTGGGATTCCTGCACTGTTAGTGACACTGCTTTTGATGAGACAAACTCTTGGCAAAACTTATGCCGTTAAATACACATTTTGCCCCTAAGTCTAGGCCCATATCCTAAGAATAAGTTTAATTAATTATAACAACTCTGAATCAAATGTTTAAATAAGTAATCAACTAGTTAAATTTAAGAATGCTGTTTTGAACCTAAAGAAAGTAAAGTGATTAAACCCATAGAGATATAGTAGAGGTTACCTACCTAAATTAGTTAATATAATAATATATGAAGTGTCTACACGTCCGGCGCGCCGGACATGTAGTGCGCAAGATATACGTCCGGCGGCTTGTCACGTGACCGCCGGACATGGCCGGACGACTAGTAGTTTTTATAATTCGAAACAAAGTAAAGTTTAGTACATCTTGTGTGGTCTTGTGGTAGAGTGGTTGCTTGACGATAGGAAGGTTTGAGGATCTATACCGGGGAGAGGGTCTTTTTTTTTTTCTACCCATTTTAATTAAAAATATTTTGTATATATTTATATTAACATGTTCCTCAGCAACAGTAGTTTCATGAGAAGTTTTTACATATTTTGTAGCAATTGAAATAATTTAAAATGAAATCTTTTACTTTAACTTTTATTGGTTGCCTACGCCTACTCCACACTGGCCCCTAATTTATTTTATGTATTACTGGTACACAAACTCAAATAACAAACTAAACAAAAATGTTTACAAGCCACTTTCACTTAAGTTTTTTTTTTTCTATTATTTGCATTCAAGATACTCAGTACATTACTTGGTAGAGAAATAGATTTTAAAATTAACAATAGTTTTTAATTATTCGCAGTCACGTGACAAGGCTGACCGACAAGATATCTCTCGCCACTTTGTTACGGCGGTCATGTGACTTGGTCGCCGGACACATAGTGCGGGAGATAGACGTCCCGCGCCGGACGTGTAGACACTGCCAATAATATATGCCATCAAGTGACATATATTACTAATTTTAATTTAAGTTCCAATTTTAATTATCATGACTGCATCATCATGTCATAGTATCTCAAAAGAATTTTTCTTCATACAGAGGTGAACACCACCAGACAAGGCACTCAAGGTGAAGGTTCAAGTTAATTAGTTCAACATCCAACACTAAGTCTTAAAAGCATTTTAGATTATGTGATTTCATACAAGTGAATCATGAGTGTCTCATTTCTTTCCAGTGTCCAACGACCTCTCTGTCCGTTAATTAATACAATATTTTAAATTTTCAAACACGTTAACCTAAGACATTCAACATCTCTCGATATGTCCTCGCCAGGGGTCAGGTCATACTAAACTAACAAAGTAAAGAAAGGAGAATAGGGCTCTAGTTTGGTAGCCTTTCTCAACTTACCCACAACAATTTTCCTGCAACTAACTTGTAACCACGGGCTTCAAAACGCTTGATGATCTCACCAATAAGTCCCCTTTGTACTCCGTCAGGCTTCACGGCGATGAATGTACGTTCTTTCCTGGGATCTGCCATTGTCTTAGTAAATACTGAGAAAAGCGAAAGAAGTGTTGCTACCATGCATGCGGTACCACGACAAAAAGGAAATGCGAGGAAGTCACGTGACTATTTTAACCTCGCGCATGTAGAGTAAAGGCGTTTCCAACATTTTTTTCATTGATCACTCTTCTTTTCTCCGAATAAAAATAAAATATTTATCAATCGATTGCATTTGATTAAATAGGAACTAACAAATAAATTTTTAAAAGTTATCGAGATAGTATTTTTTTTGTGGTTATCAAAGTAGTTATAGTAGGTCATTCTCAAGAATCAATTCGTTTAACATATGATTAAAAAGGGAAATTAATAAAATAAAGCATGGTCAACCCTGAAAAAAAAGGAACGCAACAAAACAACACAACGAACGCGTCGACAGAAAGCATTCGTCAAAGCAAAAATAGAAAATAATAAAATTTAATTTTAAAAATCCACTTATTACCTGAGAATCAAATCTTTTGTCGCCTTTTCGGATAAACTGAGACGCTAATCAATGCAAAAATATATAGAAAATATATTATAACAAAAGCAGTAGGAATCAGATCACTGTATTGATCAGTTTTTAGTTTAGGTCCAGCCTCTTACTTTTTAATTTATTACATATATTATTGCATGATATAAGTTAAGTTAAATATTTAATGTTTAAGGGAAAAAATTATATTAAAAAATCTTTTTTTTTTTTTATGCGACAATAGCCTTTACATAAATACTGTAACTATTCCATTAGTTTTTTATATTATACGGAATCGTAGACATTGTTTACATATGGCTGCTCTTAGGAATTTCAATTTTTATTTTTAGGTTACTGAAGGTTGAGTATATATAATGTTTAGCATTACCATGGACAGTATTCTAATATAAAGCAATTATTTTCAGCAAGACAATCTAGATTAGTATATTATATATTTTTTCCACATATTTTGCTACATGCTCATGGCATGGGCTGTAGTAAGAATTATAAATACGAAGTGGCTATTCCGAACTATTCGGACCCGGCAACCAGAACTTGATTGAAGAAGTTAGAGGTTGGGATTAAAAAATGTTTAAAATATTATTGTTGGGTTTGTAATATAAAATTTGGTATCCAAAGAAAGATATTTGAATGGGCTATATGTTTGTAAACTTAATTCTTTAGTTAAACTTAAACTACCACAAATGACATCCGAATAGCATGGCATAGCATGTTCATTTAGTCAAAATGGACCTTGCACCAGACACCCATCGGACACCCATCGCCGCTATTCGGACCCGGGTCCCTTTAGACAAATGCCGGGTACGAATAGCCGCAGCCATATAAATATTTATATAATATAATAATAATAATAATAAAAGGTCTTGTATAGCGCGGTACCCCAGCCTAGGGCTGGGCTCACCGCGCTGTACATAAAATTTTTTATCAAAAGAGACATAATCATGACATTAAAATAAAATACATTTATGAAATAAAGAACAGCAATGTATATTCACCCACCCCACCACATAACTTTTACAAGGCAAACCATGGACGGCAGCCAGCAAGATCATTTATCGGTCAGAGGGGGGGAATCAGTCAGGGTAGTATAATTTAAAAAGATATGTTTTTAGTGCAGTTTTGAAGGCCTGGGTGGTTGGTATATTGCGTATGTTTAGTGGCAAAGAATTCCATTGTTTGGGGGCGAAGAAAGAGAAAGATCGTTCACCATATGTTTTAGTGTGTGTCTTGGGAACGGACAGAATACGCGTGTCTGCAGAGGAGCGAAGCTGTCGAAGGGGTGAATAGACAGAAAGAAGTTCGGTTAGATATGAAGGGCAGGAATCCAAGAAAAAGTTGTGACAGAGAACAGACAACTAGAACAGACAACTTATCGTCAATGCGTGCCTGTATAGGTATATAAGTGACGTGATCACTTTTTTTTTGCCTTTAAAACTAGCCTAGCAGCTGAGTTTTGAACTTTCTGCAGTTTTTCTATGCAGTCTTTTGGTGAACCTGACAGAAGAGAGTTGCAATAGTCAAGACGAGAGAGTACAAGAGCACAGACTAGAGTTTTCGTAGCGCTAACTGTGAGGTAGTGGCATATGGAGCTGATCTACATATAGCATCAAAGCATAGCCTAGTTTATAATTTTATTTAATTGAATTATTTATCAATCTTATTCTTCCTTACTTGATTACTTAGTAATTCTAACTCTAGTCTGCCTTATAAAATGTATGAACTATATTATGTATTATTTCTAACGTCTACATACTATATCAATGAGGTAATCTACCACTTGAGCGTTGTCATGAAAAAAATCATGTTTTTCCGGCTTGAAGTGCTATTTTAAATTTAAACAGTTACTTTTTTATGATGTGGATAGTGGAGAGAGGCCACTGGGTTTTCGGGGGCATAGAAAGAGCGAGAGGGCACTTTTTTCTCATCGAGGCTTGGTGGAAGAGACCTGATTCATTGCTTTGACTAGCTAACAGTGCTTGCAAGTACTATAGTATAGTCGAACCCGCTTATTTTGACCTCGGTGAACTCGTCAACCATGTTATGTCGTTATTTTTGAAGTGGAACTGCCAAATTATCTCTTTGTCTTAGCATTTTCTCCTCGGTTATGTTGATTCTTTTATGTCGCCGAACCCTGATATCTCGAGCACAAATGGTGGTAAAATTTTCCACTTAATCTCGGTTATCTCGATCCCCATGACCAATCGCCGGCTTTTGAACTTGAACTCCGCAAGAAGAAATAACAAACAAAAAATAAACAAGTTTTTCATAATTAAAAATAATTATTTATTTCTCAAAATACAGGACTTGTGTTTTAGAATGAACCTAGAAATAATTTAAATAAATATATTTTCGGTTATCTTGATCATCGGTTATCTCAACAATTTTTGGCTAACCTGATGCCATCAACATAACCGGGTTCTACTATATTAAAAATGAAAACAGTGACAGTGTTAAGAGTTTAGACTTAGACATTCCTGAGAAGTTGAAAGATACACCTTGAAACTGACACTTACCCCAATGACAGTAAATGAGAAAAATTAAGTACCGGTACCGGGTAGTTAACTGTTTGATGAGAAATATAATTGTTACTTTTTTATGTTTTAAGACTATTATTATAATTTTTTTATTATTATATGTGGTTTTATATAGCATGGTACCCCAGCTAAGGGCTAGGCTGACCACGCTGTACATACAATTTAACAAACATGATAAAAAAACGTTAAAAAATTAATTGACATACATTAATTAGATAAAACAAATCAAATGTATATTTAAAACTATTTACATCTCAAGCCATGGATGACACTCAGTACCATCATTTTTCGGTCAGAGGTGGGAATCGGTCATGATAGTAGAGATTAAAGAGATGTGTTTTGAGTGCAGTTTTGAAGGTCGTGATGTTTGGTATACTGCGGATGTGTAATGGAAGAGAATTCCATTGTTTGGGGGCACAGAAAGAGAACGATCGTTCACCGTATGTTTTTGTGCGAGTTTTGGGGACAGAAAGAATATGCACGTCTGCGGAGCAAAGCTGTCGAAGGGGTGAATAAACAGGGAGAAGTTTGGTTAAATAGGAAGGGGAGGAATTCAAGAAAAAGTTGTAGCAGAGAGTTTGTAGTCAATACCTGCTTGTATAGGGAGCCAATGAAGTGAATGAAGCAGTGGTGTGACATGATCACGTTTTCTTTGCAGTTATCTAGACGAACTAAACTTTGAAAATGATGGAATTAGACCTGACTCGTGTGGACTACTTACAGGTAGGGCATTTTATAAGGTTTAATAAAAATATAACAATAAATTGCACTGAGCATAATTTCTATTAACTGTTAAAAATAAATAAATTAACATAATTTGATGCAGTCGATAAGCTTCTAAGCTGTTGTTAGCTGCTCTTTCCAGTTAAATAAAACTTAAATTTGTATTTTTCTTAAAAGATTGATTCATATATAATGCCATTACTTCACAGAAGAGAAGCCTAATTAATTATTGTTTTAAAGGTTGGAACAACATGTCCCAAAACCATGCAAGTTTTACCCCTAACAAACAAAACACAAAAGGTTAGTTTGCTCATTATTTATTATAGTTCTGTAAGATCTATAAACTTCTTTTTACTCAAGTCCACAAAATTTACTGGAGCATGCAGTGTTTAAGCGTTAATTAGTTTTAATGAGCTTCATGAACATGAAATGTGTAAAATGTTCATTTAAATGAAAAATTAATATTTCCTTTTTATTAACAGATAGTAGTCGGTGATAATGATGGTACTCTTCACTGCTTTGGACTCCGTAAAGGTCAAGTTCAAGTATGCCATAAAAAATTTTTTTAATGTTTAAAATCCATTTAGCCATAAATGACACAATTAAAAATTATATTAAATATTTATCATTGAACACTTTGTCTAAAACTTTAATTTAAACTAAAAAAAACCAACAAGTTGAAATCCTTTCTAAAATGTAGTAAGTAGAGTAACATTTTTCTTTAAATTTTAATGACATTTTTATTTATTTCTTGATTTTTCTCTTATGGAAACTACCCTCAAACTTGAAGATTGAAAAATATTTTTTGTTTTTCTTCTGAAGATTGTATTTAAAGCTGAAAAGAGCCACCAGCTAACTCGTGTTGTTTTAGGTGGTCAGGTTAGTGCAGCAAGGGACAGAATCTTCACAACTAATGGGGCAGAAGTCAATGCATACACAAAAAAAGGCAAAAACTTTCTGACCTTTGACACAAGTATGGCAGAACCCGTACAGTCACTGTGAGTAAATTGTTAAAAGAGGAATAGGAAACAGCAAGCTTTCCCTCATTAAGTAATTTTTAAGCTTTTTATTTTAAATTCAAGAAAATTTTGATTTCTATTGACTTATTTGCTAGCTAAAGAATAAATATTTAAAAAATTAATTAGTCCAAGAGAAATGTTTTATATAGATATAATCAAATATCAAGTTTATAATTTTTATTATGTATTTTGTTGAAAAAAAATGATTAACTTCTTGCTGTCCAGATATGTTGAGGGCTCTGATCTTCTTGCCTGTGGAAACTTTGTGTTTAATCACTACCGGGACTGTAAAGATATTCACTACTATCTGAGCAGTGATAAGATTAACGATGTCCTCTGTCTTCCCTCTGAGAAACGTAATGGCATAACACCAATTTTAGCATGTCAGGACAGAGTCCTTAGAGTGCTGCAGGTAATTTTAAGTAATCTGTTTTTTGTTTTTTTTAAAATTACTGTGAGAATATGCAAACCTATTTATAAGACAAGATGCAAACATCTGTTGAGCAGAAAACTAGACAATTCTGTTTGATGCAAACACTCTTTGATTTATAAATTTAACATCTTTTCCCAACATTTATTTTGAAACTATTTAATAGTTGTCAGAACAGTACTTATCTTGTTGCTCCATCTTGCAAAGTGTTTCCACCAGAGAGGAGTCAGATAGATATTATTAAGGAAAAAATTAACAGGTTGTGAACAGGTCTATCTGAATCTTCATTGGATTTAGTTGATTCATTCTTGAAGGAAAGGATTTTTTTTTAAAGTTTGTAATAAAATAAAGTTAAAGGAAAAGTAGAACTTTTTCAAGCATGAAATAATTTGATTTAAAAATAATAATGTAAGGACAGAGCAGATCATACATGGCAGTGATAACTAAAAGCATTTTATTTGCTACTTTAAAGCCACTGACATATTGTCCACGCCACACAACATTTCATTATAAAATAAACAAATGTCACACTCAAATCATTCATCTAACCAGTTCTTGTCAACGATGATTTCTTCTTGAATACATCTATTAGCATAATGTAAGATACGTTCATTAGCTGTCAAGATAATAAACTGTTAACATTGGTTAGGTCATATCCAGTGCAATGTGTGTACATATTACTGACATGTTCCAGTATTTATTCAGTCTGACTCTATCGGTTTGACTCTCCTCTCTTGACAGGGATCAGAGCTGCTATATGAGGCTGAAGTGGCAGGACCTCCGGTGGTTTTAGAATTGTTTGGAAAAACTGGTGGTAAATTAGATTGATTTTCCATTTTATATTTGTATTCAAATAATTTTCCAAGATTTTTGCTTAAAGCATTACTTTGAGCAGATTTTTAAGCATATGTTTATAATCTTCTTGTTACAGAACATCATAGCAGACATTGGAAATACATCATGATTTGTAGATTTTTGATACAACCCATATTCTAATACTTTTCCAATTACTTTAATTTTATGTAGCTTAATGAGACACAAAGAAATTGTGTAAATAAAACAATATATATTTAGTTTTAATTACGATTACACAATGTACCAATTCAAATATTTTGGTAAATGCCTTCATCAGCACAACAAACAATATAAATATAATAATAATTTAAATTCATATAATAACATCTTACCTACACCTAAAAATGAAAGTAGGTGGAAGTAGAATATGAAAACCTTACAAGAAAAAGACATTGCAGCTATGTAAAATTGTGAATTCGGTTTATACCATGTGAATTCAACTCATCAAATCTTTTTGTTAATTTAGTTTCTATATAAATTTCATCAAATGTATTACTCGCATACTATATACCAGTAACTGCAATGTCTATTATTCTATTATGGTTAGCACTACTGAAATTTTTAGCAATGGGACCAAGGGCTTGTTTATTGATGGTGTATACATGTTCTCTAAATTTAATTTATAGTTATATTAATGTTTTTTGTTGTACTGATGAAGGCATTTTGAGAACAATTTTAAGAGTGTGCAATCATTATTAAAGCTTAACATACGCCACTACCTCACAGTTAGTGCTACAAAAGCTCTAGTCTGTGCTCTTGTTCTCTCTTGTCTTGACTATTGCAACTCTCTTCTGTCAGGTTCACCAAAACACTGCATAGAAAAACTTCAGAAAGTTCAAAACTCAGCTGCTAGGCTAGTTTTAAAGGCAAAAAAAAAGTGATCACGTCACTCCACTACTCCATTCCCTTCATTGGCTACCTATACAGGCACGCATTGACTACAAGTTGTCTGTTCTCTGTCACAACTTTTTCTTGGATTCCTGCCCTTCATATCTAACCGAACTTCTTTCTGTCTATTCACCCCTTCGACAGCTTCGCTCCTCTGCAGACACGCGTATTCTGTCCGTTCCCAAGACACACACTAAAACATATGGTGAACGATCTTTCTCTTTCTTCGCCCCCAAACAATGGAATTCTTTGCCACTAAACATACGCAATATACCAACCACCCAGGCCTTCAAAACTGCACTAAAAACATATCTTTTTAAATTATACTACCCTGACTGATTCCCCCCCTCTGACCGATAAATGATCTTGCTGGCTGCCGTCCATGGTTTGCCTTGTAAAAGTTATGTGGTGGGGTTGGTGAATATACATTGCTGTTCTTTATTTCATAAATGTATTTTATTTTAATGTCATGATTATGTCTCAGAGGGATCACCCTGCTGTCCATCCCAGGAAAGGTTTTCAACCGTGTACTACTTAACAGGATGAAAAACGCTGTAGACCCTCTGTTGCGGGACGAACAAGCCGGCTTTCGCACCAACAGATCCTGCACAGACCATCACTGCGCATCATTCTAGAGCAGTCACTAGAGTGAAACTCGCCGCTCTATGTCAACTTTGTTGACTATGAAAAAGCCTTCGACAGTGTTGACAGGCAAACCCTGTGGAGATTGCTAAGGCATTACGGGGTGCCATAGAAGATTACTGATATAATCAGAAACATGTACGAAGGGATAAACTGCCGAGTTATCCATGGCCAGCAGTTGACAGATGCTTTCCAGGTGAAGACTGGTGTGAGACAAGGTTGCTTGCTGTCACCATTCCTCTTCCTGTTAGCCATTGACTGGGTGATGAAAACATCTACACAGCAGAAAAGAAATGGCATCCAATGGACCTTGTGGGATCAACTGGATGATCTTGACTTTGCTGATGATCTTGCACTTCTTGCACATACCCAACAACAGATGCAGGAGAAAACAAACATTGTCGCAGCCACTTCTGCTAGCATGGGTCTCAACATTCACAAAGGGAAGAGTAAAATCCTCAAGGTTAATGCCACCAGTACATCACCCATTATGCTTGAAGGAGAAGCCCTTGAGGAGGTGGACAGTTTTGTTTACCTTGGCAGCATGGTAGATAAACAAGGTGGTACAGATGCGGACGTCAAAATAAGGATAGGAAAAGCAAGAGCAGCCTTCCAACAACTCAAGAATGTTTGGGTCTCTAACAACTTAGGCAGCAAGTTAAAAGTAAGGATTTTTAACGCTATGGTAAAACCTGTGCTGCTATATGGAGCCGAGACATGGAGAACAACGGCCGTAAACCTGACCAGAATCCAGTCCTTCATCAACAACTGTCTAAGAAGGATTCTCAGAATTCACTGGCCAGACAAAATCAGCAACCAGGAACTGTGGCAGCGGACAAAACAGAAACCCATTGAGGAAGAGATTCTCCAGAAGCGGTGGAGGTGGATTGGTCATACACTAAGAAAACCTGCTTCTAACATAACAAAGCAAGCCCTGAAATGGAACCCACAGGGTAAGCGGAAAAGAGGCCGTCCAAGAAACACTTGGCGCCGAGAATTGGAGACAGACATCAAGAAAATTGGCCATGAATGGAAGATCCTGGAGAAGCTGGCCCAGGATAGAGATGCCTGGAGGTCTCTCGTAGGTGGCCTATGCCCTTGGAGGAACCGCAGACGCCGACGATGATCGGTGGATGCCCCTCATGGACGAGAAGGCTCAACAACCCTGACTGTATCCCCTCCTCTGACCGATAAATGATCTTGCTGGCTGCCGTCCATGGTTTGTCTTGTAAAAGTTATGTGGTGGGGTGGGTGAATATACATTGCTGTTCTTTATTTCATAAATGTATTTCATTTTAATGTCATGATTATGTCTCTTTTGATAAAATTTTTATATACTGCTCGGTGAGCCCAGCCCTAGGCTGGGGTACCGCGCTATATAAGACGTCTTATTATTATTATTATTATTATATTGATTTATTTACACAATTTGTCTGTGTCTCAATAATCTACTCAAAAGCTTTATCGCTGTCCAACCCTCTTGTAATTTTTGTGTAAAAATTATTCCCCTTATTAAATAAATAGATGTTGATCTGGAATAGCTGCAAACATGATGAAAAAAATCCTAATAATAAATTCAAAATGTATAAATTTAATCAAGGAGAGGAAGGCAACGAGATCTTATATGGTACTTCAGACGGAAGAGTGGGATTAATGCAGATAGGAGCGTAAGTCAATTATCTAATCAGTTTCTCTCACTGTCTTGTATGGTAGCTTCATTAAATTGCATTGTAACAATATATGTGTCTGGGGAAAAAAAATTAAATATTTGTTGGCACAACACATAATCTTTTTAAAAGAAAAAAAAAATTTGGCACTGCTGTAGTTTTGTACCTTGCTTATATTAGAAAAAATATTATGATAATATATTTCAATCCTTTTTTCCAGGCTGATTCCAAGCCATCGCTGGGAGTTGCCCAACACAAGAAGGGGTGGAGGTAATAGATATCATTTGAGTGGGGGTAACATTGTGAATTAGATTAAATTGGACAGAAATGTGGAATAACATTGACCATGAGATTGATCGTGAGATGGGGTAAAATTGGAAATTCTAAACTTAGACAGTCAACTTATTTTGATATTACTTACTTTCATAAAACCATTATATTAGATCGTCCATAAAAAAACAACAACAAAGAAAAAAAACAAATATGTAGACTGGGAGTTTTAATTTTCCAAATGTATGGGCCTATATATATTTGTTTTTTTGTTATTTTTTAATTTGAAAACTAATTGCAGTTTTTGATGCCACCACTGACTTTAATATGTGTCTGTATACAGGTGTCCTTTGTTTAGACAGCTATGATATTACTGCAGATGGCGTCTTAGACTTGCTGGTGGGCAGGGATGATGGGCAGGTGGAGGTTTACAGCTATGACGGTGCTGATGAGCCTGTATTCCGTTACAACTATGTAGGTGATACAATCATATCTTTTTTTCATCTTCTCACTTTAAAATTAAGTTAAGTTTCAACCATCCCGTCTGAAATCAACCACTTGGTCTTTCTTTGAGTATTTATAACAAGCTGTGTAACATGTAAGAAAAGCTTAATAGAGCTTAAATTACAAATTGTCAGACTACACAATCTGAACAGTTTTATTTAAATTAAGTTTTATCAGCATTACTTAGCCAAAATATCATTTTAATAAATTTGGTTACAATTTGATTCATGAAGTAAAAATATTATTTTCAAGGTTATTTTATTAATTAATAATAAAATTTTGCTTATTTTAGTGGAACGCTTCAAAATGTGTTATGCTATAAATGAAAACCTGTAGATATATGTTATTGGAACATTTTCATTGATGAAGGCATTAATTTCCTCAGTCTGGTTCTGAAAGTGTTACATCTGTCAAAGGTGGTCATGTAGCAACAGCCAGCTTCGATGAAATTATTTGTTCCACCTACGCAGGTGAGACATTTTCCAGCTGAAATCATTTGCATTTTCCTTTTAATCCTTTGTAATAAATAATAATAGGATTGTTTATAAATTCTTTCTGATTGGATAATTTGACCTGGCACCTACAGTGTGTCCATATTGTTTCTTTCCAAAATGACTATAACTTCATTAAGATAAACATTATTCATGATCCTTAAGGTAAAGAAGCAAATGGAACACCGCCTTTCTCCAAACAAAATTAAATGTATAATATTTGAAATTTGTTTTATTTAAAAGCTTGAGATTTTTAAATTTTGGATAGTGGTATGGGATTTTTAAAACGAAGCCAAATTCTTCCTAAAACATTGGCTGTTTGGTATTGAACTATTTTAAAAAAATGTATCTGTCAAAGTTGGTTTCATTCAGGCTGTGTGTATGGGTTAAGTAAGAAACCCTGGAGCCAGCCGCTAAAGCATGGCTTCACAAAGGAAGGTGTTGCTATAGTGAAGCAGCTAAGGTAATTCACTTGGATGGGTTCGTACTGAATTTCAGCATTGGTAATCTGAAAGCAACATTTTAATATGCATGGGAACGGATAGAAGGGAGCTAACTCTCTAATGCTTCTTTGATGTTGTCATGCTGGAAATTCAGGACTTCAGAGTTATCTTACCTTGCTCTGCTGTCAAATTATAGAATGCTCTGTAAAGTCTGAATTCTTGCTTAGTCGTAAGAAAAAAAACCATTATCAAAGTCAATTTGTCACACTAATGCACTGCTGTCAACTTGTCTCTTAACCATTAAATATCTGTCAGTTATTTAATGAGCGGTTTATACTAACCTTTATTCTTAAAACCATACTCTTGTAGAGTTTCAAGGATGAGAAAAGCAAAGATCAGTTAAGTTTCTCATCAAACTCTCCTATTACTTCTTTACAGCTCCTGAAATCCTGTGGTCTTTTATAAACACTGAGAACTTTGATTCTACATTAGAAAATAATGAAACAATCTTTGAAGCAAGAGTTTTTAAATTTTAATCAATCATTTCTTAAAAAAACAACAAAAAAAACCTCTTTCCTTTCAAGATAATGTACTTTTTAAAAAAGCTGTAGTATTTGCATGTTATTAACCAATGAAATTTTTGTATTTAAGTGATAAATGGATTGTCTTCTCTTAAACAGGCAATATAATTTAATCTCTTCATCTCTTCATCACCATAGTCAAAACATTGAACTGCTTAGCACCTTTTCACTGTAGTTCATTGATTTGAATGTAGTTTTTTTGTGTGTTTTTTTTTTTTGAGAAATGCATGAAGTGTGAAAGAAACCAAAGCATTATTTTTGTTGTTTTGAGGGTTAAACTTTTCCGAAATAATTTGGACTTAGAAATTTTACCTGTATGAAGGTTTTCTAGCTATATGAGGGTTTTCTACCTTTATGAGGGTTTACTACTTGTTCTACTATTAATCTCTTGTCTCCTTCTTAAAATGTTTGACTGATTTAAAAAAATGAATCTGAGTTGATGTAGTAAATGTCTGTAGGACAGGATTTACTATAAATTTTACGTTTGGTTAAATTAGATATCAGTAATTTTTCTTGAAGACAGCTATGTTTCAACTATAAAATTACTGTAAAAACATTAAAAAAAACTAAACTCATTCACATAACCCTGTAATTTAATCAATTTGAAAATGCATGTTTAACTTTTAGAATCCGTTTTATCTGCTTGGTCCTACAGCACCTAATATTAGCTAATATGCTAAAGTTTAGTTGCTTATCAATTAAAATGTGTACAAATGTTTTGGTTAGGGTTAACATAAGCCATTGAATGAAATAGAGGATACTCAAAATTTTCATCAAATCCAGATAAAACCTGTAGCTGGCTCCTAGGGCTATGACAATGTTAAGTCTTAGGGCTACGCTAATGTTCAGTTTTGTACAAATAAACGTAAAGTTAAACAGCATTAAATATTGTTATCATTGTAAATAGTTTTAATTATTAACTTGAATTAAGGGATTGTTCAAGATACATTACATTACACCGACTGATTTTTGCGTGCAATATCAGAATCAGGTAGAATTGTTTCTAATGAGTGACAACTGTAGTCCATTGATTCATTGATGTATCGGTGCGATGGTGCTTGACAGCGTGAAATGCCAAGGTGCATTCACCTGCTGAAACAAATTCATTGCTTTTCAAACCTGGTGATTTGAAACATTTAGTAACTTTGCTAGATGAAGTTTTTCAGAGAACACTCTTAACATTCTTTTTAACATGTGCACCTTTAAATCCAGTGCACCTTTAATGGCAATTCACTTATTCAGCTTCCAAGTTATATCTGGATATTGGCTTTTCAGTGCATCTATAAACATACATGTTTCAGCATTTTTTAAATCTAATTTTTTTAATTTAAGTTGAAATAAATAAATTATTTTTCAATTATCATGAACTCACATTACCGTTATGTGTTAAGTTTACAAAAATGACTTCCGCGACCTGAAATTTCAGTGGTTACATTAGTAAACATTACTATTGAACTAAGAATTGCTGGCGTGCATGTTTGGTTCACAGAACAGAATGGTATACAACATGGAAAAGTTAATAAGAAGGTATCGATCGGGGACGGACAGAGGAAAAACATGGACAAAATCCATATTTTGGAAAAGCCGCAGGGCAGGGGCCTAACAAGAAGACATGTCTGGGCAAACCCAGACCACATGATAACCCTTGTTTTAGTTACAACATATTGGTCCATAAATTAGATTTAAATTAATGTATTTCCCCAAATCTGAAGTGTACTGCAGTGCTTACAGTCAAAGTTTCTTCACTCTTAATGCCATAGATATAGACATCTGCTCATAGGCTTCTCATCAAATGCCTGGCCATTATTAACCTTGCATACATCCTTTAAAACTTGCTCTAATCTTGCAACTGATGCCTTAAAACATATAAAACATGGGGTTCTCAACTGGGATCTGTTCACACATCAGTAGATAGGATTTAAGGGTTTGGGGTTTAGACTTTAGGGTTTTGGGGGTTATGTTTTAGGGGTTTAGGTTTTGGGGGTTTAGAGTTTTGGGGGTTTAGAGTTTTGGGGGTTATGTTTTGGGTGTTATGTTTTGGGGTTTAGAGTTTTGGGTGTTATGTTTTGGGGTTTAGAGTTTTGGGGTTTAAAGTTTTGGGGGTTTAGAGTTTTGGGGGTTTAGAGTTTTGGGGGTTATGTTTTAAGGGGTTTAGAGTTTTGGGGGTTTAGAGTTTAGGGTTACTGGAATGAGACTAACAAATATCTATTCTTAAACTGAAAATGTGAAATTTGAGTTTTCATACTTTCCAAAGTCTTCATCAGACTACAAGAGGAGAACAAGACTAAACAAGTGTCCATGATATAAACAAAAAGGTTAAGCAACCCTCTCATAGTAAATAAATTTCCTGAGCTTTTCAAAGGTATGCAAATCAAGAAGTCCATTTCTCAAACTTTAATCTCAACCAATCTTGTATCTCCTCTGTTGAATGTAAATGTTTAATCATTGTCTAGCTCACCCTGCTGCCAATCAAACAGTCTTGTGAAGTCCTAACAGTTCTCTGACTTCAAATAAGCTTGTTGAGTCAAGGTGGCATACTTGTCTCCAGATTAAGTGATCAGCATCTAAACTCAACTGCCTTTGCTTAAGATAGCCAAACAATTGTTCAGATATACAATTTGGTTATAGGTTTTGTTTCCATTTAACAATTTTGACAAAAATAGTAAGGATCAATCAGAATGAAGAAAAGAGATTATATTTTATTACAATTTATAAAAATCTTTTGCATAGACTAGTATTTATTTTTTAAAAGTTTTGTAAATAAATTTTGAGAAGAAAATAACAAAAAAAAAATTCTAAAAAGTAACTGGTCGATTACAAACAATGAAAGATTTGACAGGAAATTGAACACACACATGACTTGGTTAGTTAGTATTTAACTCATTACACGCCGTTTGCTGTTAGTTTTAGTCTTAATTTATTAAGATTTGCTGCATTCTGATAAAGGGAAGTTATTTCCCCATAAAGGGAAGTTATTGCCCTTTGTGGACACTACTCATCTCTCTGTACACAGGGTAATTATATGGTTAGATGCTGTTGCCCCACAGTCGTACTTTCGACTTTGCTTACTAACTGCATGTGTAGCTTCTGGTGTTGGTTCCCACAGGTTGGGTCTTTGCTCTCACAACTGAGCACTTGGTCAAAGAGGCGGGGCCTCAGCATGTTGCTATGGATGCTATAGCTGTGGCAAAAATCAGCAACCTCAAGTAGGTCGTAACTAACACTATTCTAAGCTCACTCATGTCTCGCAAGTATTGTATTATTAATTTTCGGGGTATATTTATAATATTTGAAGCCTTATTTATTAATTAATGTCTAAAAATTTTCTTGTAGAATGGTTAAGTACATTAGATATCTAAGTGATTAAGTGCAAGAAGTTAGTATCATCTTATTCATTATCAAGTAAATTTTATAACTAAAACTTTTTTTTAACATTAGAGCCAAAAAATTAATAAAATTATTTTTATTTGAAATGGAAGCCAAAAAAAATTAAAAATTCATTTTCTATTTTAAAACCCATGGAATACAAAATATTGTTTCCTTCTGATACAGAATAGCCCTGGTAAAGTAGACACTTAAAATGCACTAGTATAATATTACAATACCCTACTGATAAACTATAAAATTCCCTACAGGATGCCCTGTAATATTCAATCATATGTTGTAAATATATGTCAAGTCAGTCTTTGGTAACCTTTTATGATTTGAAATGAACCATATAACCATAAACAATCAAAGGTCAGAGCTTGATGGCCTCCAAAAGAAAGTGTCAGATGAGAGAGAGAAATACCACCAGACGGCCACCTCTAAGACAGCTGTGTCAGCTGTCCCACTTTTCCCTATCAATGACAAGTTTGTGCTTGACAAGGATGATGCCAGCTACACTTTGAGCATAGAGCTGCAAAGCCCCATAGATAATGTCTTACTGCAGGTTTGTTTGTTCTATAGAACTCAACAGTAGTTTTGAAGCCTGGAGATTAATCAGTTTTATTACGAAAATAATGAATTAAATAAAGCAAATATTTTATGTAAAAATGTGTCATATGACAACATATAAATATATATTTATCTATCTATATATAAATTTACCAACTCAGATTGTTAGCTTCTGTAATCTTTTATTTTCTTAAAAGGTGTTCTAATAAATAAATGAAACAATCCATTGGGATGGTACATTTTGCAATTAAATTCTTCTGATATCATTGTATTTTTGTTTATTTCATTAGAGTGATGTCCCAGTTGATCTGTTAGACATAGAAAAAAATTCCGCTGTTGTCAGTTATTCAGCGTGTAACCCTGAGGTAACCAATATTTTTAATTTAACTGAAGTAGCGTGCACTGCAGATTTTTAAAAACTTTATCTTATTTTACGTATGATTTTGATGTTTTAAAATAAGAAAATTACCATTTTTTTAACTGTGTTAAAAACCGATATTTAAAAAATAACCTATCATAACTATAAAATAAACTATTACATGAGTAACCCAGTAATTCAAACATTTGCTAAATTTGTGGATATTATTTTCCAAGCTGCCACTCTCATTTGCCTTTGTAACTAATCTGAAATTGTATTTAGCTATAATTATATTTAGTATAATTAATTTTACATAACACTAATAGCTTACCGTATTTTCTGGCGTATAAGATGACTTTTTAACCCATGAAAATGTTTCAAAAGTCGGGGGTCGTCTTATACGCTGGGGGTTGTCTTATGAGCTGGTGTACAGCCCAAACCCTAGATTTTAAAAGGAAAAGTAGGGGGTCGTCTTATACGCCAGAAAATATGGTAATAAAAAAATGTAAAATCCTTTATTTTTTTCAGAAATAATTTTTTTGTTTTCCCTGCCAGTTAGTGCTTAAAAGTGATATAAAATAACATAATCTCTTTGAAAAGGGATACATTTTTTTTTTTACATAAAACACTCATCTACAGGAAGGTAACTTTCTTTTGGCCACATATCGCTGTCAGGCCAACACAACTCGGCTGGAAGTGAAGATACGTTCCATCGAGGGCCAGTACGGAACGCTTCAGGTCTACATTACACCTCGTATACAACCCAAAACTTGCCAGGTGAAGCAGTACCCAATAAAACCCCTGTCATTGCATCAGAGAGCCCATGTCTTTGATGAAAATAGGTAAATAGAACATGAAAGCGCTTGCATCTTTATTTTAAGTTGAAATTTTCTTTCTTTGTTATTTGACATTATTTTTTTGTCATACAGCATTTTGATTTGTGCCATATTTTGTGTCATGTAAAATTTTTGTCGTAACATATTTTTTTGTCGGACCATATTTTGATGTGTACCTTATTTTTTTGTACCATATTTTGTGATGTACCATATTTTGTGTTGTACCATATTTTGTGTTGTACTATATTTTGTGATGAACCATATTTTGTGTTGTATCATACACAAAGATGGTCCGAAATGTCTAAAATTAACATCACGCTTGAGTTTTGTTTTTTGTGTCTTACAGATTTCATGATCCACTCTTCCCCTTTTGTGACCCCACTCTTCCCCCTTCATGACCCCACTCTTCCCCTTTCATGATCCACTCTTCCTCTTTCATCCAGCTGCTGAAAACCCCAAGTCCAACTTAGAAATTTAGTTTATTTATATAATTTTTTTGCATGAATTCTTCCCAAATCTTAATTTAATTGAACTTGTGATTCCATGGCTTGTTAGGGAAGAAAAACAATATTGCACATCTAGCACCTTAGATCAGCAAATGCTAGTTGTGTCTAAAGCCCAAAAAATGAATCATGAAGCTTAAAGTCCAAACTAACACATTTTGACGAGCTACTTTATACATACATCATATGGTGCAGCCCTGGTGAACTGATGCCATACAAATTAAATTAACTTTGAATCTTTCAAAAAGGCAAAATAAATTTAAGCTTGAATAAATCTGATTAACTTCCTGTTTTAATTTGTGATTGCATGTCCACCAGACCTCACAATACTCTGACACTGAAAGGACAGTTCAGCATGGCTGAGATACACTCCTGGCTGTGTTTCTGTCTGCCTGAGCTCCCAGAGAGGGCGCCAGCAGGAGAGACAACTAACTTTCAGTTTGCTTCTACTTTCCTTGATACACAGTTGGACTGCACTTACAGGTGAATTGTATAAATATTAGGTGGTACAAATTGCAATGAAAACTACAGGTAACGATTTTGTAGTTAACTTGATTAGTTTAATTTTATGCATATTAAATTCTCACTTGAGCTTGTTTGCTCCCCTAAATCCAAACATCATTGCTATATTTTACATATTTTAATGGACACTCAAGTTATTTGTCCCGCAATCACATTAGGTGCCTCTGAAAGTTCAGTGTAGTAGCAAATACTGGTCAGTCTAATTTCTGACGTCTTGTGTTTTCCAGGAAGGGAGAAGCTGTGTTCAGATCTGACAATATCTCAACAATCTCAATTCTGAAAGATGTTTTATCAAAAGAAGGAACAAAGAAGAAAATAAGACTTGATATTTCTTATGGTATGCAAAATTTCTAATCGTTAATGAAATGTGCAGACTGAAGTTACCAGTGATCACAGGCCTGGCTGTAGCCACATGATAAACAAGCTGCAGCTATGGCCCTTTGTGTAACAGTGATGTAGCAAAGAGGAAGTCTCTATTGTCTATTTCAACTAACCTCACCATTTATCTGAAATATCTGTGTAATCAGTTATCAGGAATAGGTTAATCTAAATTTTACGTATTAAAAACAGGAAACAAAAACGCAAAAAACTACAATTTGCTTTAATTAAAATGAAAACTGGAGAGTTTTTCTCAACATATGTATTCGCTGTTGTTAAACAAATTCTCTTAAACTTAAATGTTTTTAAATTCTGATTCAAAATGTCTCTACATATGTATATTTTGTAATAAATTGAAGATCCACCTAATTTTGAAAGATTTAAAACTCTCTTGAGATTAAGCTGGCTACTAAATTTTTTAGTGGTTCGAGACATGTTTTGGGAATTAGAGAAATAAGCAGTTAACTTTGATATCCAAGTAAAACCAATAATTTCTATGGTTTAGGCTTTAAAATAATAATTCATATGCTAGAAATTGCAACTACCATTCTTTCTTTTTCCTACCAGAAATTAATGATGAGTCCATTCCTCATACCCTAAGGTTGATCCATCCAAGACTGGAGCAACAGTTGTTGTTAGCTAAAAAAGTTCAACTTATTGATGCACTAAAGGCAAGAGAAAATCAATAAATTTAAGAAAAAAATAATTTTCAGGAGGGTGTGCATGTTACAAGACTAGACAGGAGTGGCACAGGAATTCAATGACGTAGAGGGCCTTAGGACATAGATTAAAATTTGGAAAGCGTTATACGCAGTCGGCTGCGTATAACTCTCAGGGTTATACGCAGTTGGCTGGGAATTTAGCCAAATAAGGTTATCAATCGCTTGTTTGGCAATTTAAAAAAAAGTGTTATGTGTAATGAGCTGCATGACGGATTGTTTTGAACTAGAACTTTGAATGTGTTTAACGTAAAATTTTAATTGAATTAATTTTAATTAATATTGAAATTGATGATAGCAATAGTATTAGTATTAGTGCTATTATTAGTATTATTGCTTGTATCTTATATATTATAATTATAAGTATAAGTCAAAGTCTACATTTCTTAGAGTCTAAGCCTAAGTCTTAGATTTTTTTAAAGGCATTTCCATGGTCTAAGTCTAGTTATGTATTTTGATTGATTAGGTTTTTATATGTTGCTATGACTATGTCTATGTCTATGTGGTTGGTTTTACTGACTAATTCAGGAAATACATTCTATTTATCTTTTTTTAAATTTTATCATTTATGATTTTTTTTTTTTGATGACCTAAATGTAACAGTTTTCAGCTTCCATGCAAAACTATAACTGTGTGAAAGTATTACTTACACTGCCCCCTCTACAGAACCCCTGCCCCTACAGCGATTTTTTTCCTGCTACTCTCAACCCATGATTATTTTTATTACTGTACCAGTGAAACATGATTTTATCTGCCACAAAATTAGTTAACAACACAAACATATATTTGATAATTATAAGTATAACATTATTAACATTACATTGGTCAAGTTAATAATTCTTCTCATGTTTGAACATTTTTTAGCCAAAAAAAAGTAAGACAATAAGCCTAGTTGTTGCTTCATTCTCGAGAAAAAGCATAGCAACTAATGCGTATTCATGGCTTACCGTTGGCTGGAATTGAACTCAAGACCACCAACTTGAGGTTTGGTCAGTTTAGACCATTCGACCAAACAGTCACCCGATTTCAAGGCACCCTTATTGATTGATACTGTTACACAGGAAGAATATAGACGTCACGTGACTTGCCGACTGCGTATAACTCTCAGGGTTATACGCAGTCGGCTGCGCATAACCACTTCGTTAAAATTTACACAAACATTTTATTAAAAAAATTTTTTTTAAATAACTCAAGAACCATACCTACAATGTTTGTTTTTGCTGCTGATATTATTTTTGTCTGTCTCTGAAGTCGATGTTTCTTTCTTTCTTTCTTTTTTTTTTTTTTTTAACACTTTTTTATTTTTTTAAATTATTGCTTTGCCTTAATTTAATCTGATTTAAGTTTAAATGTTTTTACTACTAATAAATATTTATTTTTTTTTTTTTTTTCTTTTTATTTGTTTTTTGTTTTTTTTTTTTTTTTTTTTTTTTTTTTTAACACTTTGATATGTATATAAATTACTGCTTTGCCGTAAGTTAATCTGATCTAAGTTTAAATGTTTATACTACTAATAAATATTTGGAAATTGTATTAGTTTAGTATTGTTAAAAATTGTTAAAACTAATATTTCCCCTAATGTAACAGATGTATTTTCAATCAAACAATTTTTTTTTTTGAGCTTGCTTATATTATACATCAATACCTACATGTCTCTCAAAAATATTTTCAATTTGACAATCATATTCGAACATTATTTAATGATTTAATCCAGGTCAAAACTTTAAGGCATATTTATATTGTGTAAACAAAATTATAATTAATATATTTATAACAATATAAGAAGTTTTCCTTGATGATGTCCAAAAAATGTATTTAAAACTGTTATTCTCTGGACCGACAGGAACTTCAGGTAAATGAGCCAGATTTGAGTTTCATGGCATCAGAGTACCAGGAAATCTTAGCAGAAGCAGAGGAACTTAAGGCAGAGTTTAAGAGACAACCGTGTCACTTAGAGAGACTTTATGGTAGGTCTTACTTACATTATTAAACTTCATGAATGCTAGGTCTTGTATCATAGGACTGTATGATGGGTTGTATTTCATGAGACCCTGTGTGGGAAGTCTTGTATCATTAGACTGTATGAATAGCAAATGTTGTACTGTACACTACTTTGGTAGAAGTAGAATGGGAGACCTAATTAACAGAATACAGGCAGCAAACCCACAAGTGGAAATACCTTTTAAAAATGATAAAAAATCATTTAAGAGACATTTTTCTTTAAATAGATTTTATGACATCAGAGCACTTTGAGCATGCTAGAATAGCATGGACACAAGCTTTGAGCATGCTAGAATAACATGGACACAAGCTTTGAGCATGCTAGAAGAATAGCATGGACACCAGCTTTGAGCATGCTAAAATAGCATGGACACAAGCTTTGAGCATGCTAAAATAGCATGGACACAAGCTTTGAGCATGCTAGAATAACATAAACACATGCTTTGAGCATGCTAAAATAGCATGGACACAAGCTTTGAGCATGCAAAAATAGCATGGACACAAGCTTTGAGCAAGCTAAAATAACATAGACACATGCTTTGAACATGCTTAAATAGCATGGACACAAGCTTTGAAGATGCTAGAATAACATAGACACATGCTTTGAGCATGCTAGAATAGCATGGACACAAGCTTTGAACATGCTAAAATAGCATGGACACAAGCTTTGAGCATGCTAAAATAGCATGGACACAAGCTTTGAGCATTCAAAAATAGCATGGATACAAGGACCATTCAAGTACCGGTAATCATAGGGGTCTAATAATTCTAAAATGCCTTGAAAATTTTTTCTCCACCCACTCCTCTGTTTATTTTTTGCCAGGGAATTTAAAAAGAATTAATTTATTTTCTATATGTTAATGCCATTTTTGTGCCACATTCAAACTCCAGGTATGATCACTGACTTATATATTGACAAGTACAAGTTCAAAGGTCAGAATGTGAAAAGTAAAGTGCCAGCCCTTCTGGAGTTGTTGGATGTTTACGAACTTGATTCCTTGATTTTATTCTTTGAGAATTCTGCATAAATACTGTTTACTTTCCTGAATTATCATTACCGTTAGTTCTAAGAATGTAATTTCAAGATTGAGCAGTTTTTAAGGTTTTCCTTCTTTTATCCGTCCAGTATGTATGTCATAATAATATTTCATATATGAATTTATAAAATCTCGTATGTTGTGTCATTATTTGATATATGTTACCGGTAATTAAATTATTATATTTATTAGAAATAACCTGCAAATAAAATTACCAATGCAGGAATATCCAATCTAATAAGCTTACTTGAAAAAAACAGGCATTCATCAAGGAATGCACTTAATAAGAATCCCAAATTAGTGCAACAGTAATGCAAACTTCTGGGAATTCTATTTTGGGCCTTTATTGAACACAGCGTTACAGCCATGCACTTAGGGAATTGTTATTTGTGTTATTTTCTTAAATGTCAACATTCCATACTTGAATTTCTTTTTTATTAAATATGTGAGGACTAGGGCTTTAGATAGTCCCTGAATTATTTCTTTGTTTGTATGGTGTCGTCTTAGTGCCAATGGTTATATAATTCCAGCAAGGTGACCATTGTTAATGGACTCACTGAAAGCATCAAAGCTTATGTTACATTACAATTTGTTTTAAAAATTCAAAACTTAAAACCTTCATAAATATTTATTCAAATTTAGGCAAGAAAATAAATAACTACATCAGATTATTTCTAGATTTTTTTTTCTGTTGTTAAGTTAGTTGTTAAATATTATATCTTTTCTTTAATGAATTTATAAATGTTTTTTTTTTATTACACATTTTCAAACTACCCCTGACATGATGAGGCTGAGCATAATTATAGAATGTGAAACTGTTTCCACACAATAAATAAATTTGTACAAATTTGAATTTGCTGCAGTCTTAATTTTTATTATTTTTGTTCATTGCTGAAGGAAACAGAAAGTAATCAGCCTGACCCAGTAATTAAAAACAAAAAAAACATGGCTTCAAAAACAAGGATGCTGTGCTCAATATTTTCATGAAAGCTTTGTATCATTGATGAAAAAAAAAAAAAGATACATTATCTATCTTCTTCTTCTGATCATTTTTACCGGGTAGGTATACTTGATAGTTCGCTGCAGCATGTGATGCCTGGTGGAGGTTCATGTTGTGGACTTTTAAGGTGTCAATCCTCCAACGGCGGGGTCTTCCTCTGGCCCTGAAATCAGAATGCCTCCTATTGTAAACTTTCAATGCAGGTTGGTTGACAGGCATTCTGACCAGGAGGCAAACCGATTAATTGGTTGTTGGGCCACACACTGGCCGACTGGGATGGCACTAGCCATTTTTCTTATTTCCTGGTTCAGAAATTTTATGATTTTTATATAGTTTGATATTGTGTTAAGAATATAGAGTGTAGTGTAAAATAATTACAGGTATGTGCAAAAATTAAAAAAAAGATTACTTTTCATTCTCTTAGATTTGCATTGACAGGTTTAGTTTTGAGTAAAACCAATGGTTTCTTTAAGCTTAGGCAGCTGTTTAATAGACAAATAACGCAAATCATCAACATATTTAACATTTTTAATTAACATCTGAAATCAGGACCCTCAGAAAATTGAATATATAATATGAAAATTTCAAATCATTGGCATCAAATCAAAGAGCCCATGCAGCTAAGAGAAAAGTTTAATGTTCTACTTTGCACCGATTTCAGATCCCACTTAACAGGGTGAAACCCCAGTCCCCAAAATATCTAATAACCAATAACAGAAATGTCCTCACAAGTCTTTTTTTTTTCCTCTACGCCCGTCTCTGCCATAAACCAGATAAGAATTTATGCCCTATAATTAAAGATGATAAGAACAATAACTCTATTAATAAAAGATTTATACTCAAAATGAAAGCACTTGCAGACACCAGGTGTCAACAGGCAGTAACAGTGTATATTTATGAATAATTGTACAAGGAATGGTTAACCACACAGGTGGCTCATCATGATTATCATGGATAACATTAAATATTCAAGTACTGGCACCAATTTATTACTGAAAGTCAAATTTTAAAAAAAACATTATTCTCAACTTCTAAGTCTAAGTAATTAAGCATTGCAATTATTTAGATTTTAGATTTCACAGTGTTGCTAATAATTCTAAAAGTAAATGCTTGAGACAGATTTTACAGCAAACACAAATAAAATTTTAATAATTTTAGAATAAACTTTTAAAAATTTTTGTAAGATCAGATGACAGAAAAATTACTGTACATTTGGCAATTTAAAAATATTTTTATAAGACAAGGGAAGCCTTAGATCTAAATAAAATCGGGAGAGAAAAAAAACCTGTCCATTGTAAAAAAAAACCCAAAACAAATGGATTTGTGAGATTCAGAGTTACAGCAATGATTTGCATTACTGAAGTGCTAAATAAAATTTAATAAATCTGTTACCGGTACTAACAAACCACTGGTCACAAATATAACTTATGCCAGTAACCTGAAAAAACAAAAACATTAGAACTAAATAACAATCAACTTAGAAAAGAAATGGTTTATTTACAAAAATTCAAGGCAGAAATAATGAGAAATCACAGTCAATGTCAGGTTGGGTAAAAGTCACAGGAGCCGCATTTGTTAACCACAGCTAACCATAATCTAATTGCAATACTTCCATACTGAAACACTATGAGGAACTCAAAAGAGTTCACAATATGATATGTATTTCGAAACCTGATAACAGTCTCATTATTAATATATGTCTGATAAAGATGGCAAAATATTATTATCCCATTAACATTGAGAATGGCCATCTTAGGTCAGCTGAGAATGGCCATCCTAGGTCAGCTGAGAATGGCCATCATTGGTCACCTGAGCATGGCCATCATAGGTCACCTGAGAATGGCCATCTTAGGACAGCTGAGAATGGCCATCCTAGGTCATCTGAGAATGGCCATCATAAGTCAGCTGAGAATGGCCATCATTTATTTTTCAATGTAAATAGTATTGATGACCTCATTTATAATAAAGCCCACATTTATTACTGTATTTCATACACTTAAAGGCTCATTATCTTACATGAAGTAACACACAAAAAAGTATACTTTAGAAAAAAAAGATTTCAAGAATCATATATTAATACTAAAACCGCAGGATATCAGTTCCCATACAGTTCAACATTTAAATGTGGAACTTTACAGAAAAATCAAAGATTCTACATGGCGATCCAAGGTTAAATCAGTGTGGCTTGCATAATTATGTTGTAGTGCTACCTTACAACTCAACAAAAAAAGATTCCTCCTCCTCCATATGTTTCTTTTCAACAAAAAACTTCTCAATGGCTTTAAATAGAATGGCACATTAAGTCTTTTGTTTCCCCAAACATTATACACAATAGAAAGGTAACTGATAGACAAATCCCATTTGTTGTTAAAAGTGAATCCTTTTAAATAGCATATTAAAAGGATATCTAAAGACTTGTGCGCTACACTCTTAACATGTTACACTCCACATTTATAGAGAATAACCAGTCCGAACTCTGCTCACTGTACAACAAGCCAACAGCAACCATGCCACCTGGCATAATGACGCCTGTGGGACTCACTGAATACATTATTTTAGAATCTAGCTGTGTGGATAAAGAAAACCGCTTGTCCTTGCATGTATTTGCCGTAAAAATCACGGCTCCATTTGCATGTTTGATGGTGACAAGAATCATGCAATTACCGTCACTGTTGAGCGATCTCACGACAGGCTTAAAGTTTGGCAGCAGGGCCATTGTTGAGTAGTCATCAAACTGCTGCACTTGACGTGCTGATGCTGAGACTCGTCGAGGCTTGGAGGTGTCGCACACACACAACGCCAAGTCTATATCATCGGCACAAGCTGAAAACTTGCTGTATGGAGTCAAGCGGTCATACATGTCCAGCACTGCAGCGTAGGATGTTTTTTGATAATCGTAAGTGATGATTATAGCAACAAAGAAAATTTCACCCTCCTGAACATGAAGATCCATCTTGAGCATTTCAGTACCATTCTGAAATGGGACAGATATTTAATTATTTTTTATCAAACAAGTGGAGGAAAGTACACAAATTTATTGTCATTTTACCTTGTACCCGGTAATATTTGTAAAAATACATCCAACTCAACTGTCAGAATGATTCTTTAGAACTGATTTGATTAAGTTGGGTGAACAGTTAAATTATATGAGTAAGCTTGTGGCAAGGTTTATTGATAGAAACGTGGAAAAGATTCTTTCTAGAGAACATGATATTGTGTAATTTTTTATATAGAAAATAGAGATATCTAATAGCTCTACCTTTCCATAGCTCTTGCGCACATTCTGAACCCCAAACAGCATCAACCTCTGACAGTTCAAAAAGGCGATGGGGTTGACTTTTGAAGACTTCAGCAGCTGCCTTTGAATGTCATTATTGAGCTGACCTAAGGCGAAGTAAGCAAACAGGTTGTTGGCAGTGTCGTTGGTCAATGAGAGGTCAAAGTCCTGGCATATGCAGAGATTGGGCATGATCCTAGGAATGTCATTGCAGGTTCTGTTCACATCAACCACATCAAATAAACCTCTGTATGAGATCTTGTATTTTTTATCTCCTGGCGGTATGCTGGTATTGTACGAGTCTACAAGATATCGAAGCGTGTAATATAGATCAAGAAAACTGATGATCCGGTGTGTATTTAATCCCAATGATCTCATTGAATTAACTCCTAATTTATTGGCAACGGTGCTTGGAATGATAAAAAACATGAATGGATGAAACAGCTCAATACGGGCCTCATTAATTTCCTGAATGTATTTCCCATAAGCATTTCCATGATCTGAGAAAACAATGGTCAATGTATTTTGCAATGATGCTGCCGATTGTAAATAGTGAGCTAGGGCATCGTCAAGAGTCTGTATCCTCCTTCCGGTATCCTCGTGGCCTACGTTGGTCATTGTAAAAGTGAAAAAAGGTTGCTTCATGGCTTCCATGGATGTCTGAAAAAGATGCAGATAGTCTAACAGGTATTCATGTTGGTGTTTACCATTAAAACACACAGCATCTGGTCCGTGGAAATGGTCATGCACTCCGTTGACCTTCAAGATCTCACACATGGAAAGAGTCACATCAATGCTGTCTACGTTGCTCTCCGCTAACTTTGACCACATCCTCCTCCAGGTGTCTGTTTTCGTGCTACCTTTTTTTAAAAAGTGGAGATCCTTGGCAATGCCCCACTCCCAGAGATAGCAGAGATCCTCCAACCATAGGGTGGAGTATCCTTTTCTTTTAAACTTCCCCAACAAATGTGATACTTTGAGGGGTTCAGGTGGAATTTCCTGTGTTCCAAATGGTTTCACCAATGGATCAATCTCACCGGAAAACATCACCTGCAAAGACTCAAAAGTTCTGGACCTTACAGCCTGTACAAGTTCAAAATCAAATAAAGAGGCAAGCGGATCAGGCAAAGGGTTCATATTTTCCAGGACCTGGACAGTCTTACGTAGTGACCTGAAAAAATGTTGATGAGACACAGAATCAATTAAAACAATATTGATATTGATTTCTGTATTTGGTGAAGGTTTTTTCTGTCTGGTTGGATGGAGCTGTGGTGGTAAAATTAGAAGTTGTGTGCCATACCTATGATCATCAGTGTCCATATCATAATATTCTTCCATATTCAAGGGTCCAAGACTCTCATCAATAGTTTCCTTACTATCTGAGGTTAATGTGCAGCGTATGAAACAAAAACCATACAACCGAGGTACACTTGCTGGATCTAAATTTTGAAGCCATCCTGAAAGTTTTTCAGAAACCTGGATGGCTGAGCCCACTTTCTGCCAAATGAGAGCACCTGTTGAATTGTCTATGAATCCTACAGAAAAAGGTGAGGCACAAACTTTACTCAGGGCATCACTGCAGCTGACATGGAAGCCATTCAGGGAAACTGTCTAGAAAATTAGAGAATTTTATCTGTAAGTTTAAACTTTTACAAAAAAAGGAGAAAAAAAATGTTTGGTGTTCATTATATTTTTTTCCATGTTTTGTTGCTCTTAAAAGTATTAAAAGAAAATCATAGAGTAAATGACATCAATAAAAATGGAAATTGAAAAAATGTTCTGAAATGTTAAAAAAAAAAAGTTAAGTGGATGAAAAATTTGTGAAGAAAACAAATGGAACTATTTTTCTTTAAATTGGTGGACAACCAAAGAAAGAAAAAAAATCAGTTATTTATACATACCGTACTGCAATAAGATGATTTGTTTGTTAGTTAAAGCCATTGTACCATGTAATGGGATAAATGCAGCTTTTATCCAATGATTAACTTAAGACATACCTGCAGCTTGCAAAACTCAAATGATTTTTGGTGGGAACATGTAGCTGGAGGCACTGAAAAGAACAAATGTTGAGCAAAATCACACGAGGGAGGCTTCGGAACAATACGATGGCATCCATTGTGTCCAGAGTTTTCCTTGGTCGACCATTTTGATTTATTGTGGATGGCAAACAATTTACATTCACCGTGATTTCTCATTTCTCCTGCAATTTTCTTGTGGGTCAGTATACTGTTAAAATAGCCTCCTTGGTAAACGTCAGCAGGCCAACTAATTGAAAGTCTGTACATCACAAATATTGCCAGAAGTAGGACTAAGCAGAAGCAGAAGTTTTTTATTTGGATTTTGTAGCAGTACATTTTCCATTGAATATATTTTCTCATTATGGCCATCATAGTATAATTTACTGTTATCTTAGATCTGCAGATGCAAGTTTCAAAAGAAATTCAATATTAATTGTAGGGTAAAACATGTAAAATAAAAATGTTCAAATATTATTTTTATTAAATATTTAAAAGAATGCTCCTTTCTGAAAATTTAAAAGAAATAATATGAAAATACATTTTTAAAGAGACAATTGGATAGCATTATGTACCTCTCTGCTGAAAAAAAATAAAGAAATACCTCATCTAAGTTCACTATACAGATATTTTGTACTATAGACTGGTAGTAAAAATTCAAGTGCATCCTTTACAAAAATTTAGAAAAATTGTTTTAAATATAAAAAATTTAAGGCCATCAGCCACTATAGTAGTCTCTGTAATAGCCTAAAGGTTGTGTGTTATCTAAACTTCAGTTAATACTTATTCAGTAAAGGAAAATATAATCTTTTCAATCCCAGTGTAGATTCTTGTTTTAAAGCTGACGAAAAAAAAAATCAACCCTGGGAAATAAGTTGGGTGTTTGGCTTATAGATGTGGGTCATAGATTTTACAAATTTTCTCCAAGTTAATTGAATACTGAAATTTTTACACTTGATCATTAAGGCTTTAGTCTACCATACCCCCTACAAGGTTCAATACATTACCAGAAGCTTTAAACATTAAAAAAAAAGTTGTATCATATGTATATATATAAACTAAGTAGCGTGTCCAAAGTAAATCTTGGAAAAAAAAGCTAAATTCAAACCTTATGCTTATATACCGGGTAACATTAAATAAAAACTGCTGTAGGTGCTTTAGAGTTTCACACTTTAGGCCTTTTAAATTTAAATATAATAATATTATTTATAAGGACCTTACACTGAGAGACCCAATCCTTACGCAGAGTTCCTATAATTTTCTTCATGGCTTTATTTTAAGACAAATTTAATGATAGGGCAGCAATTTTTTCACATCAAAGTCAGATATTTTATTGTTAGATCAGAAATGATAAGAATGGTGTGGCCCTTCCAAAGTCTTTTTATCATCATTTAAGTGTTCAATTTAATTATATTTTTGCCTATTAACAAAAAAATGAAAACAAAATAAATGCTATTGTTTTATATCTTCACCATGGGCTGAAAGATCTTAACCACCTGTCATTCTGAATGAGAAATTACATCCCTACATCTAAGTACTTCTTGCTGTAACTGTTAACCAGAAACTATTTTAACAAATGTGCAAACTGGTAGAAAGTTATATTCCTTATTTCTGTTAGCATGTAAGGGACAAAAATGTACCTCATAATTCATGAAAATCTCTGTAACATTGGGAGTGCAATACACATCCATGACTTCGATCACCGGAATGTTGGTAGTGCTACAGTCATGGCTGACTTCAGTCTCGGCAATGTCAGTAGCAATACACTCATTGCTGGCTTTAAGTTCAAGCTTGTCAGTGTTGGTAGCACTACATGCGTTGCTGACTTGAATGCTTTTGGTTGTGTGGCACACATCATCCAGCTGCCAAAACATGATGCCATTTTCATGTCAGTGTGTTATAAATGATATTAAATAAAAGATGAGAAAATGAGCAGGACATGCCTTCAAACTTTTGTTTCAACTTAGTTTTGTTTTTTTTTAAATTCAGTATGTTAAATAACTTCTAAATATTTAAACCACATTTGTTTTATGAAGGAATTAATTTAAAAAGTTTTGATTTTCACATTTTTCACACACACACACCCCCCCCCCCCTTTTTTTTTCTTAATCTTCCCCAATGTTTTCAGCTTTCTTCAATCCATAGCGAAAGCACATTCTGTAATTTATTTTGTTTTTTTTTAAATTTAGTAAGTTAAATAAATTCTAAATATTTAAAACAAATTTGTTTTATGAAGGAATTAATTTAAAAAGTTTTTATTTTCACATTTTTCACACACACACACCCCCCCCCCCTTTTTTTTTCTTAATCTTCCCCAATGTTTTCAGCTTTCTTCAATCCATAGCGAAAGCACATTCTGTAATTTGATGTCCGCTGGAAAAAATAAAGGCTAAAGATTTCTCTATTTTTAGTAGTGTTAGTAGCGTTGAATGCCATGCAAATCTCAAAATTAGCCAAATATACTGAAAACAGAAAATAAACCCCATGCAACGTGTGGTTTCATACAGTCATTTCAATGAGCATGAAAACAAATATAACCAATAATTGGTTAAATTAATGGATTTCTAAAACAATGCATCTGTTGCCTTAAAAAATCTTTATTTACTAATTCTGCTTTTCACCCTTAACTGTCTTAAGCACAGACACCCCTTCCTGCCAAAAAGTTTAACACTACCCGCCTACCCCTTACCGAAAATTTACATACCGGTAGCTTAATTGTGCCAATATAATATTTCAATATCTGTTAAATTAATTTAATTAAACACTGATATCTAAACCAAGGAATATAAAGGAAATAAAAAAAAGATGAATTGAACATCCACAAAATTTTGATTAAAAAACTGAAAATATGTTTTGCTTCCACAGCATAATGATTGATAAACCTATGCACTTTGACTTATCGATACTGATACGGTTTTCAATTTTAAGTAAAGCATAAATTAAGCTTTAATTTAATAATTTGAATGTTGTATCATATGAGCCTAAAAACAAATTAAGTGTCTTTTCAGGGTACCTTTCCTACGCCTACAGATTCAAGCATCACATCTATCTCTTTGCAATCATTGCCTTCAACTTGAGAATATATCTTTTTAATGGCATCCAAAAATGATGCAATTCTGTTCACCTTGCATTGTCTCCGCCAGATAAATTCAAATAAATATGATTTAAGCACTTCATCTCCATGGCAAAGATGGTAGGGTAATGTGCGCTTTAGTGCATTAAATGTGCCATCTAAGCTGTTAGTATGCCCAGTATCAGGGTATTTAAATTTTAATGAGTGGTTTACACTTAAGTTTACAAAATCAACATCAGTTTTGTAATCATACAATTTCAGGCTGGTAGAAATAATTGTGGTTCCAGGCAGTACATAATTCCTTATGATTTCCAAAAAGACATTTTTCCCTTTGCTATCAACAACCACAAAGATACATTTTTTGGATAGCTTTTCCATGCCACAGAATATCCAATTTTCACCTCTATTGCATCTCTTATTGCCTCTTCTGCCAAAATTTAAGGCATCTATCTCAATCACAACATCTTCACCCCCAATCTTTTCACTTTGCAGCTTGCAAACTTCTGCACATATTGCCCTACAACAACCCATCCACTGTGAAATGGTCGGGGCTCCAATCTCTAGCTCTTCTACAATTGATCCAGTAGGACACTTGTAGATCCAATAAGCGGTAATAATTAGAATGAGAATGTCAATAATATTTAATTTGCTATTAGAGAACCAAGACCCATCACGGATACTTATTTTAGAACTGCGTCCTTGAAGCCAACATGACCATTCATAACCATCGGAGGCGGATGGTCTTACACCTATCTTCATCCAAGCACCACATCTTGGACATTTCTTACTAGATGCGATTAAACCATACTTCATACACCATTCCATAATATTTTTTTTACCGCTTTGTTTGAGCTGATAGAAAAATTTTAAGGATAATTTGTCACCCATGAATGGTACAGCAGGTGTAAGGCAAGAAATTCGGTTAAGATAATATTGTAGTTTAACGAGACGATAGTAATACGACACGAACACCAAGCATGTTAACAACCATTTCTGTGACTGTGTGTTTATTTCTACCCCTCTTCGAAATCTAACGAAGTGGCTGCATACACCGCGGCGGTGTACCAAGCAAAACCATGTACTTTGGCCTGTGTATACCGCTGCGGTGTATCTAGCAGTTGTGTACGTAGTGCCGGTCTAATTTAAATCTAAGTTGTGCTTCTAGATGCCTCGTAACAGTGAACTCGTATTTAATTAAAATATTAAAATTAACTTTATCCCAATTCGTAGTGAAAAATTGCTGTGAAATAATATATAAACAAATATAAATATACATGTAAGAGAAAATCTATTTTTCCCCCTTATAGTCGTGCAATAAAAATTTTAATTTAATTCCATGTAGGCCTAACCCATAGTCAGGCAAGGGCTCCAAAACTGTGCACATTAGCGGCACGGGGGAGCCGCGGTTCGCTCACATGAGCTTCGTGAATTGTTCCTCATCCTCATCCTCACGTCCCTTAGTCTTTGGACCGTTGGGGCGCCAAGATGACATGTGAACCATCCTCCTCCATTCCTCTCTGTCTTCAGCACTACACACTGCATCGCCCAGTGTTAGTCCTGTCCACTCTATGATGTTATCCTCCCACCTTTTCCTTTGCCTTCCTCTTCTTCTCCCTCCTCTTGTGGTGCCCTGCAATATTTCTTTGGCAAGCCCTTGTTTCCTTGTTACGTGGCCGTACCATTTAATCATTAAATTTAACGTGACACCTAGGGCATCGTCGAAAACCAGTAACGCCCTTACTAATAACTGTTTGAGGAAGCTTTTTAATAAGATTGCGTCCTCCGTACTTCTGGCAGGTTTGTAAGCAAATTGGCGGGGGTCAAGTTGTGACATGGGGAATAGGTCCAAAATGGACCAAATAGCTTGACTTAATTTAGATAAACAAGGAACAACTGCGGAGAGTATATACAGTCTTCACAATGGCCGCACGCTGAAGGCCATGTGCCCAAATAGCCACTGGATCTGAATGATGATGTGGACCAGGAGTCACCAAACTACGGTCCGCGGGCCCGTGTCGGCCCGACGACGTTATTTGAATTTGCTCTATAAATTGCATGGACAACGAGACGTTGTGATGAAATGTAAATATTTTGTTTAGAATACTAA